CACGGCGTGTGACACCAAAACCTGGGCCGTGCATCGTTCACACAGCCCGCTCGTCGCCACGCAACGTCTCCGGTCGCCTTCCCGGTGACCTGGGCTTCGAACCTGGGAACAAAAAACCAGGAACGATGTCGACAGGGTCGGTGTAAAACGACCGAGACAGGATGATCTTGGCCAATTTCTGCAGCCAAAAAACATATCCTTGGGAATCGTTTCACCTGTAGCAATAAGAAACTCTTTAGTATCTCTTTGAAGCTTCTTAGTAACAAGAAACTACTAGGTTGGAGGCCATCGCTACTAGTAACAAGAAGCTACTTAGGGTGGAGGCCATTACTACTAGGGGCAAGGACGCTACTAGGTTGGAGGCCAGCGCTACTAGTAAGAAGAAACTACTAGGGTGGAGACCATGAATGGTACAAGTAGGAACAAGGACACTACTAGGTTGGAGGCCATCGCTACTAGACACAAGAAACTACTAGGGTGAAGGCCAGTACTACTAGGAGCAAGGACGCCACTAGATTGGAGGCCATCGCTATTAGGTTGGAGGCCAGGTGAAACGATTCCCAAAGAAGTTTCTAGTTACTTAGTAGCAGATTTTATTGTTACTAGAAGCGATGGCCTCCAACCGAATAGCGATGGCCTCCACCTAGTGCAATCTACTCTCTTCTCTCAGGCTCGGACAGTGGCATCAAGTACAACCTGCACAGGGCAGTGCACAGGGTCGCACATGCTTGCTTTTGGTCGCCTTTACGCGCACACACACGTCTCAACATTTACAGTCTCTTTGTTCATCGTTTTTCGTGCCAAATCCAACGGTCCAACGACCTGTGAAATGCGGACCTGCAAGCCACGAGATTCTCGATCTGGGGGCTATTCCACATGGTCTCCTGTGCACATGATCGAGAAGACGTGCACCTTTTGTTCGCAGCCAAATAGAGCAACATGTGGTTGCTGCCACGGAAAGACGTTTGATCCAAAGCAGGCTACGGCATGCTACGGCTACAGAGCAAAAGTCGAATCCCCAGGGCAATCAAAGAACTGGAGATCACTGTCGTAAAGCCGATGTCAGTGTCGTCTGGACCACATGGGCTGTCCTCCATGGAGGCTTCAAAAGCAAAGGTCACTTCAATCGTCACCTGAATCGCAAGTGGAACCAAACAAATGGTGGGTCATGCGTGCAATCACCAGTCTATCGGAGGTTTGTGATGAGCATGTCTTGTATCTTACGATACCAACACAATGTTTGGAACGACATCATCTGTGGAGTCATTCACATGTATATGTAAAATCCAATAATGAATGATCCCTTGGAAATCCAGCTTCCCGCAACTTAACACATCTGCAGAGTGGTATCCTTTCCAATCTGCCATGCTACATATTGGATTGCTATCTTACCAAAGACAACTTATCGTACTTTATTGCTTAATGATAATGACTCTCTCAAATATGCCAGTGTAACTCCTGGTCAAAACATAAGTCAAAACGTGTCATGCGACTATAGCATGCGATGACTCAGGCTCAAAAAGACAGGGCGACCCTAAAGCGGTACAATTGTTCATGTCTTTCTAAAAAGAGTTAAAATAGAAATAGCGATGACCTGTAACTTACTAGCGATGCCCTCCAACCTAATAGCAATGGCCTCCAACCTAAGACCTAGAAGCAATGGCCTCCCACATAGAAAAAGAATGACTGAAACCTGTAGGCTCCAACCTTGTAGGCCTCAACTCCACCACCCTGATGCCAGGCCTCATCCTCCCCTCCTTCCAGGACTAGACAACTGGGCGTCACCTCCTGGCCACGTTCAGCCACGTCCAGCCACATGAGCCACGTCCAGCACCACCCAGTACCAGGGTGGTTCGATGGAAAATACCTCTTCAGGGGGATCTAGAAAGACATTTCTGGAGACCCTTTGTAAAGCATGCCATGGTTGGTCTTCTCCAGAAATGTCTTTAAAGCCAAAAAAGAAATATGTCCCTTTGGGTGGTGCTGGACATTTCTCATGGCATTTGTGTTCTTACGCGTCACGACTGACCTGGAGAGCTCACGACGGCCTCGCATTCGGGGTCGGGACCTACTAGCAATGGCCTCCAACCAACTAGCGATGGCCTCCAACCAACTAGCGATGGCCTCCAACCTAAGAGCGGCTCTGTATATATGTTAAATATCACATATATACGTCATGATCATCAATTCCACATTATTAGACAAGTTGGTCCGTTTCAGCCTCAGCAAAATGAAGGCAAATTTGCCAAGATTGGGTCCACCACCCTTGGACCTCTCTTTTGGGTGGTGGACCCCTGGTCACAAATCAAGGTCACTCAGGTCTATTGTTCCAATTTCTTTCCCCGGACCTCAATGTCATGCGGCCCCACTGGCCGTGGTGTTCTGTCCGCTCCATGTCTCACCTCCAAGGACACCGAGGGCAACAGGGAGATCTGCGTTGGAGCCTCAACCGCACCGACCAATCCATCGCCGCGGGGTGGAACCCATGAATGCAGTGATGGAACATTTCGGAGTACTGAAGGGGGGCAACCCGCCTGGGAGACCCACTGCAAGTCTGTAGTGTGACACGTTGTGACACATGGCCCATGATCCACACTCACACTGGAGCGCCTGCCGCCGTTTCGGGGTGGTTTTTGAGACCCATCCAGTGAGTGGATGTGACAGGGACCTGCAGGGACACCCCCGACTTCCTCCAGTCTGGTGCACCCAACTCTATGGAACTGATGGGTACAGCTGGCTCATGTTTCTCTTTTCACCAGGGTCCCTATGGGTCCAGACCTCCTTCGACCGGTCCTTAGGTCTCCCCAGGGCACGCCCTGCTCCATCCCACCGGGCCCAAAGCCGCCGGTCCGCACTGAGTGCCGAGCCAAGATGGGAGACATTGGACCCATCGGATCGGTGAAGCTCGGGAGGAAATCCTCCGAAGCCAGATTCCACCGGACCGACCGCGGCGGCGGATGCGAGGATCCGATTCCGAGCGCGGAGGATGGAGGCATGGCATCTGCCAATGTGCGGCCAATCTCAGAGAACTCGGGGGTAGAAGGGTAACAATGTGAAATTTTGGGATTTGAGATATTTTGAGGCTCGTTGTTTGAATTTCAGTTTTGACCAGCCTGCCCGGTGAAAACCGGGTCAGGAACGGGCGCCCAGTGCGCTTTCTCCCACGCCTGGGGCCCATAGAGCGGTCTCTGGACCTGACGGAAGGTGGAAAGTCGCCGTTTCGAGACCGCCGTGAGTTGTCGGAGTATAGGGCTTTCTGGCGCCTCTCCCTGCACCATGGAGACGTGTGTGGAAGGCCAAGAGGTGGCCTGGCCAGTGCGTCCGTCCCAGGTCCAATGCGAAAGCGCAAGCAGGCGGCAAACAGGCCAAGCGTGCCCCAGACATGGCGATTGGAGAAAGACAAAGCGCCAAGCTGGAGTTCAAGACCTGGCTCCGCGAAGGGGTCGGTTGGTGTCGAGGCCAAGTCCGGCATCTAAGTCCGGGTCAGGGTCATGAGGCTGTTTCTGGGCCTGGATGGATCCAGTTTGTGTATCGTTTCCAACAGTTCATGGGTCGGTGTGCCGACATGCGTGGCCTGGTGAAAGTGCCAAAGGCTCCAACTCCAGTGTGTGAAAGTGTTGGGTGGCCCTTTGCTGCCTATCCTCTGGGTGTGAGAAAGCAGAGTCCAAGAACTCTCTGCCTGCCTTGGCCGGATCTGCCAAAGTGATGAAACAGCTCGCTTTTCAGTAGCTGGGGTGTGGAAGGATCTCCCTTCCAATGCACCAAAGATTGGATTTGGGGCAGGGGAAGCCACTGAAATTGGCTGGGGTGGCCATGGAATCGAATGACCCCGAGAATTGTGTTGGAGCCATGGCCACATCTGCGCTGGCTTGTCCTTGTCTCAACCTGATGGGGCCCAGGACCAAGCAGCACATAGATGTCCCTCATGTTGAATGTACGTCACTTGAATGTACTTGAACACATTCTCGGAGGAGCTCCAAATCAACTGCCAGCATCTATCCACCGGTCATGGCCCGCTCATGGCGCTTCTTCTCCGCTTTTGTTCTCCAACTCCGCGATCCCCCGGACGGAAGAGTTCCGGCGAGTCTTCGACTGCGCCTGTCGCTGGTCGATCGGCCCAAAGGCCAATCTGCGCCGGTTGGGGGTCCGCGATCCAAATCCCTTCGGTAGAGGGCCCTGGGTCAGTCAAAGTATGTTGACCAAAATTGCAGGTGAGATCTCGAACTTGACGGCCACCATCATATGTGAATCCAGCCGCTAGGAAACTTAACAGGACAACTTGTCTCTAAAGACAGCACTCGTTTTCGGAACATCGCCACCTACATCCATAACAAGCTAGTACACAGCAGCATGTGTACGCATCCGTGTGACCACCCATCCGGCCAAAACTGCAACTAAAAGGCGCCGCCTTGAGGAGCGAGAGAGCAACTCCCACTCACCCAAAAGGCCCCTCTTCTATAAGGATCACCCCACCGCCGCGATGTAGCGACCACCGATGCAACACCAGCTGAGCGAGCTCCGCGGCCGCGCGAAGCTCGTGTGGTCGCTCGCTGCGCGGGTGATGCGAGCGAGAAAAAACACCTGCGGCCACTGAGGGGAGTCTTCATGCTTTCAAGGAGCTAAAAAAAAGCTACAGCGGATCAGGCTTGGGTGTTCACATGTGTTGACCCATGCGGAAAAGGCGTGGGTCGAATGCAAGTCCGATGATTGGAATGCAGAGTCCCAGTCGTGACCTTCCCACTGTACAACTGCATTTTTGCATCATCCAGGCCAAGGCATGTGTCTACATGACATGCCTGGAAGAAGTCTATATTCTACTTAACGTGTTCGACAGCAAGGATCCAGCCGTCTGGGAGTCTGTTCGGTCCGTCTATCCTGACCGAGTTGGGGGGGTGCCTTCTCGCCACCCAACGCTATCGCCCCGCGGCGAAGGAATTCGGCCGAGTCCGCCGTGTGCCGACGGGATCCTTGGAAAATCCGGACCGAACACGTTCAAAAGCTCAGTGAAAGGTGATGAGGTAGGCCGGCAAAGCAGCACCTGCTTCCGAACGAATCGACTGACGGCGGCTATACGTCACACAGCGGCGGCTATAGAACAGAAACTCACCACGTGAGAGATCGAAAAGACACGTGATCGCTGGTTGCACCAGGACCTGAGCCGTTCGTGACCTCCAAATGGAGGACCTGTAAGTGACCTCTTCAGGGACTAAGCGACCTCAGCCACTGGGATCTCAAGTTCGGTCACTGACTGAAGGTCCTGGCAGCTATAATTTATAAGTTATAGTTTATAAATCATATACCGATTCCTTGCAGCGACCGGCGCCTGCATGCTGCGTGATGAAGATCTCTGGACCTCGCACCATGTTAGATTCGATCCTGATTGCAACATACCTTCATATTATACAAAAACGGTATACCATAAATCACATCGCATGATCGTTACATATCGCTACCCAATGGTTCTAAGATTGGACTTAATGTCACTTTGAGCCTTATCTTGTGAGAGTCTCAGTCCAAAGGGCCATCTGTACCTGGACCACCCTGGGTGCGGACTATGCAGCCAGAACACCCAGCCACGACCTGCTACTTAGCGAGGCTTCAAGGTTGAAGTGTTCACGCTGCAGTTGCTCCAAAAACCTATGGTAAACCCGTCAACCTGTAACCTTGGAAACCACAAAGCGGCTCAACCGGCTGTATACTTCATACGTCCCCATCAGCTGTACACGATCCAACTTAGCTGACACCTGCATCTAGGTGTGGCAAGTTGCGGTTTCAACAAACCTCTATTTGAAGAATGAGCAAACAAGCACCTCACCGTCACCGGTGAAGGTTCAACTTGAAGCTTCCAGCTTCCAACATTTCGAAAAAAACATCCCTAGGGATCCAGGAAAGTACCGAACCTCAGATTCGGTACGACTGGACAATCCAAACCTAGTGTCTTCAATCTCCTTCGAAGGTACTTGGATCCCTAGGGCATCACCCCTCTCCCCAGCCATCTCTCATCTCACACCTCAGACTGGTCCTAGTTCACTGGGCCCCTTACTCGACAGGCTGTCCACCGAGGAGTGGTACCGATACGGCTTGCTCCGGAACGGTAGCACCTCGGCGGCTGCGGAACGGTCACACGCGGTGGTCACGGCGGCGACTGAGGCGGTGACACCTTTGTGTTGTGGGCTTCCCAGGCATGGAAGGCCAGTCATCAGCAAGCACCTCAAGAAATGAAGATCATGATGATGTCACAACCTTGAATGCCTCTCTGAAAACCACGCGCTTTCAAAGTGGTTTTTTCCAGATTGAAAAGGATGAAAGCTGAACCCGAACTCTTTCTTGCTCCATGAGAACACCGGAAAGAGACGTCTGGCTCCAAAAAAATGACTTAAGGTCTGGAGCCTTGGCTGATCTTTTACATCCTTAAGACCACATCCAGTCAAATGAGGTCATTGACCTGTAGGGCCTGTAGGGTTAGCATTGATTATGGACCTGGACTCAGTTTCAATGGCCAAAAGAATAACGCTTCGACTCGGCTCCTCTCAATTGATCGCTCTTCCGAAATTCCACACGATCATCTGGGCTCCCGGAGCAGAAGCATCTGTCGAGTTCCATCGGCATTCGGCTTCCCACAAAAGCCACCCTCTGAGACGTACCTCCAACCGCAGTGAGTCATTGAGCATGACGGAAACCGGCAGAAACATGACCAGTTTCGCAGCAGGTGGTTTTGCGAAGGGATCCAAGAAAACGGGACTTCTCACAAAAGCAGTACGGTGGCCAAGCTGCCACATGATGCCACAGGGGCCACTCTGGATTCTTGGCACCCGACCCATTTTGCTTTCCTCCATCTGCCCAAGTTCGCCGGGTGAAACATGGCTTCCGGCCCAACCACTGTGTGGCGGGGCTCGGGAAAAAGGTAGATTTCAACTTCAACAGCGACATCTGCGCAGATTGACCAGCGCAGACTTACGTGCTGCACACGAGGTGGTCGGGACAGATGGCCGGTGGCCGTTTCTGCCTCAAAGGACCTATAGTCACGTCAACTGTAGATGGAAGACCTGAGCTCCCTAGAGCTTTGATCCTCTAAGGACTCACTTCTCCGTCACTGAGCCCCTCCCTGAAGTCTGTTGGAGCATTGGCTTTTCCCGCCTCTTCCGGGCGCTTCTCGTTCACGAGATCGATGCCCTGGGCATGGGTGAACATCTCCAGCTCGGACGTCAACCGCTCCTTGCCCGCCAAAAGCAGCCCAGGCGCCAGTTTGTGGCCTGCCAGGCACGGACGGCACCAGGTGAACGCGTTCACCCAGGGCACTGGGTAAACGCCCAGGCACCCGGTGCGACTCGGAGAGTTGAAATAGATCGAGCTTTGGCAAAGCATCGTGAATGAACAAAAGCTGGACCGTGGGAACTGCCACAAATGGCCTTCTAAACAGGGAAGTTCTCATCAATTGGCAACCTCGTCTCTACATAACCATTGAATCTCAAGTGTCCCATGCTGTGAATTTGGAAGTTAATTATGCATGCTGGGCGCCCATCAAGGACGGATGTCGATACTCCGAAATCTGCCATGAACTCGCCATGCATTAGAAACAACATATCGAAACCACCAAAATGCCGCCTGGACAAACACCTTTCAGGCGAACCACGGTCTCATTCTCCTGCCGCAATGTCTTGAACATGCGGGCCATCCGGGCGATAGACCTGACCTTCTTGCGCATGCGGTCGCGCACCTGACGGCTGAGGACATCCACAGGGAGAGGAAAAGGTTGTAAAGATGAAGAAACGTCATGAAAGAAGACAATCTTAACACTTGAGGGCGTTCGTTGATGTTCGTCGTATTGTTTTGAGATGGTCGCAACGTTGCAACACAGTCGACTCAGCAAATGAGTGGTCTCACAGCATTCCATCTCCAGGATCCTTGCTCCATGACCAACGATGACAAACATCTCTGTTCTTCCGCGCCTCGGGGTCGATCTTCTTCCCTTCGGTTTCACGTGCCTTGGCGTTTTCATTGGCAATCAACGCCGCTAGTCGAGTGGCCATGTCCACGGTCTGGTTCTGGTCGTCCGTCAAGGAGGCCCGATGGGTGACCCAATTCGTGGTGTCCGGCAATGGAGACAGGGCGTCCTCCTCCTCGTCGCCCGTGCCCGCGGCAGGTTGCAAGATGTAGTAAAGCATCTCGGTGACCTTTTCGATGACGAAGGGCATACTCCACTGAAAGACATCCATGAAGTTGGGCAAATGGTAGGGATGCGGCGAGCAATTGAACTGCAGGATGTTCAGGGTGCTGTTGTCGAATTTGAGAATGGCACCCTTGTTGTTGTAGACATCACAGTAGTTGGGTGCACTGAAAATGGTGATGACCAGCGGAAAGCCGGTGCTCGGATTGGTTTTGTGCATCTTGTAGCCTTCAAGCTGGGCTTCATGTGCACGAATGATCGAAAGTAAGTTGTTCTTCTTGAGGAAGGTGGTGGCTCCATCAAAACTGTAAAAGTAGGAGCAACCACGAACCTGGCAAAGGAAGGTTCCGAGCATGCGAGGTTTTGTGACGGGGTATGTTTGTAGTACGACTATTTTTTGGATGTGCTGGTCTCTCCTAAAACTTCCAGAAGATACATCTGAATGTATACAATTGAATATAATAAGCCCTGTGATCCCGACTTGAGAACAACCGCCAGAACCAGCTTGGGAAGAAAAAGAAACAACGTGTCTGCGAATTAGAAATCAACTCCATAAAACACCACAGACCGACCTGCAAAAGAAACGAAAGCATATAAAAGCAACCACCACCACCACAACAACAACAACAACCACCCTCGCACACCCTAAAAAAACAAAAAAAGCAGGTGGTCTCCGAATTCAGTGGTCTCTCCGAACCTTCAATCCTCCCTCCCTCCTCGGTCCATTCTCAAAAAACGTCATTCGCCGATGTTTCTGGCTTTTTGGGTTTTCCCGGCCTCGTTGGGAATAAAGGGAGGTCCACCCTTCTTGGCCGATGGCCGTTGCTCCCCTTCCTTGGGCTCCAAGGGGTCACTCCACAACAGGTCGCAAAGCAAACCTTCCTTTGGCGGCTCGGTGAAACGATTGATCTTCGCGATGGCCTGGCGACGCGAGGGCGGATGGAGGAAGCAGGCCGAGGACGGGTGGAAGCAGGACGGCCCAAAGGGTGGTCAGGGGTTGTGGAAATGAAAGATGGAGCATTGATTGAACAAAAAACACTCACAAATACAGGTCGATCGTTTATTGATGGGTTCGGATCTTCTTTTGAACTATACATTTGTTATTTTAGTTGGATGTTTTTTCGTGCTCTTGGCTGCTGTCTTATAAAGGAAAGGAAAAAGGAAAAGGGAAAGGAAACGGAAAAAGAAAAAGGACAAGCAATGGGCAAGGAAAAGGAAAAGGACATCAAAGCCACCTAACCACTAAAAAATAAATACAACTATATAAGAAAAATACCCCTTAAAATCACCCTCACCAAAAGCCACCAAAAGCCAAAAGCCACCAAAAGCCACAAGTCTGCAAACGGTTAAAAAAAGTAATTCGAAAAGTAAACAGAAAGATAAGTCCAAAATAAATATACCTTTGGGACTCGGTGGGAGGCGGCTCGAAACGAATTCTGTGCTTCGATCTCGGCAGCACGATCTCGGCGCTCCACTCGGCTCTCGCCCCGGTTCCACCGGTGAAATCCACTCGGCCTTCACGTTTCCGAGGTCTGGAGAGAGGCCACCGTGCACACAAAGGAACTTCCCGTTGATGGTGGCAGCAAGGGGCAAGTTGTCGAAGGAGTCCATGAAGGCATTGTAGACTCCAATGTCGTACTTGTATTCGCACTCCTAGTGTTTTTTTGGTTGGAAGAGTGGAAGAGCATCTGAACATCTGCCCCCCCCTCTTCATTGGTGCGAGCGTGCTTGAGGAGGGGAGGCAAACCTTACTTGAAGTTGCAAGAGCTTTGATTAGGAACCAAAAAAACACTGCTGGGCCAAAAGCAACACATCTTTTTGAAGGCCAGTGATTTGCTCCAACTGAGGTACCACTGGTCGACGCCGTGACCAGACCCCCTACCAGACCCCGTTCCCGGTCCAGGGTGATGGGTCTGATGGACGTGACGGCCCCAACCACACCCTGGCAAGGCCACCCGAACCTAGGGAGGCAAAAACTGACACGTGCGACGAAAGTAGGGAATGAGGGTGGCTGGATTTAAAGGAATCTCTATTGGGAGTTCAGCCACCCTTATTCCCTACGAGTCGCACCAGTCAGAAAAAGGGGGATCATTCATGATCATTCTACGTATGCCGTGTGGTATGCATTTGGTGTCATCACGAACTGGTATGCATGGTTTGCAGATTCCTCGGGCGTTTCTCCACAAAGAGCTCAGGTCCGGCGGGGCCCCCACATGCAGTCCTCACGGAAGTTGAAGAAAGAGGTCATCTGTCTGCACTCATGATTCCCTCGTAGCATTCCTTGGAAGGATGCATTAATCATAGTTCAGCACAGGCAATAATCAACGCATCAAAAAAGAGGCACTTCTGCCAACCTCTAGAAATGTCCCTCAGAAATTGAAGAAAATGCATCAAAAAACGGACCAATGGCTTCGCTTCCAGGCTTCGCACCTGCTTGGGATACTTGATCTTCAGGGCAAACAAGACCGCGACCACCTCCACTGAGAAGGAGCCGCGATCCACATAGTCGCCAAGGAAGATGTATTGGGTGTCACCGGGTTGACCACCCACCTCGAGCAACTTCACCTCATCAGGCCACCGGGTGCAGTGATCGTCCCAGGCCGGAGGTGACTACATGGGTGAAAGGGGCGTGCTCGCCAGCTCGCTCGATGAAAGGATTTTTACATGAGGTCTCAGGAAAAACTGATGACTGGTCTCACGATATGTGACGATGTGTTGGTCGTCTTGACTCTGAAGTGACTGACCGACAAAGAGAATGCTGCATGTGATCTTGTCTTGTCAGGGCTAAAGGATGCTAAATTGGACGAAAGGATTGTTTTCTCAGAGTGTGTTTCTTGCCAAGTCACCATGTCATAGTATTGGCCATGAATGTCTCCAACCACTGTAATGGGATCGTTAAGCTTCAGCAAATTTGGCTCATCTTTGAAGAGATCACTCGCTTTGCTGATGATATCCAACAAGAGCTCTTGGGACAAGGCCCCCTCCAAGATCAAATGCTCCATGAGGACTGGCATGTTGGGTTCACCATTCCTGGGCACACCAAGAGAGCGTTGTTGTTGTTGTTGTTGTTGTTGTTGTTGGTAGTAGTAGTAGTAGTAGTAGTAGTAGTAGTAGTAGTAGTAGTGATATGCAAAGCAATAGCAGTAGCAGTAGCAGTAGCAGTAGTAGTAGTAGTGGTAGCAGTGGCAATAGCAATAGCAATAGCAGTAGTAGTAGCAGTAGTAGCAGTAGTAGTAGTAAGTAGTAGTAAGTAGTAGTAAGTAGTAGTAAGTAGTAGTAAGTAGTAGTAAGTAGTAGTAAGTAGTAGTAAAAGTAGTAGAAGTAGTAGTAGTAGTAGTTATAGTTAGTAGTAGTAGTAGTAGTAGTAGTAGCTAGTAGTAGTAGCTAGTAGTAGTAGCTAGTAGTAGTAGTAGTAGTAGTAGCAGTAGTAGTAGTAGTAGCAGCACTCTCCAGGTTTCCTCTGAAGGCTGCAGACTTAAAAGTCGCAGGTGGTGACCTGTTGGAGGGTCCTGGTAGCGTGAACGGAAGATGAAAGGACATCTCACGGAAGAAAGGCCCACAAAGGAGATCTGATCTGCACCAACCGCTGCCCAGCAGCCACCCAACCACCTTTGTACCATATAGTATACATGTAATATATCTCTAGTGTGCCAAAAGTTTGTTTTTGGAACAATAACAAACTCATATTTCAATGGTGTTGTCCTGTTTTCTTCATCATTCCTCCACTTAGACCTGCCATCCCAACCCTGAAACCACCCCTCCCCACCTCCGTTCCCCAAGGGGGACGAACACCAAACAACAACCGGGCGGTCGGATTGAAACCTCGGTCGTCTTCGCTTCGCTCCGAGAATCTTATCATAGAAGGTATCTGCCGTGAGGAGCTGCGCCGGTGGCAACGGCACCTCCTTGATGGGCCGGTCGTTCAGGGGATCTTGAAGCCGCTGTGGGGGCTTCCCAGGCTCCGGCTGCGTCGGAGGCCTGGCTGCGGTAGCATTTCAGAGGAAGTAGGATGGTAGTAGGATGATCCTGTTTCCAAGAAACATGGAAGCCTGTTTTCGGAAAGGAGTCTTGCGTTTGGATGGCCAGGTCCGGTCCTGTTGGAGGGTAAACATGGGTAAACTGGAGGGTTCAAATGCTGAAGGACTTGTCTTTTTTGGAACATCCTCGTCTCCAAACAATCCCAGATGCTCCATGGGACTGCCATATATGCCGATCAGTTGGGGTGGTGCCAGGGGGGTCAATGTATACATATATTCCATCATATTCCATCCTTCACCACTTCTGCCAGGCCATCCGTCCCCCCAACTCGCCACGATGGCGTCGCCAAGACACATGGAATGTGTCGGACCCCACACCGGTGCGGCGATGGAATCGCCCGGTGAGGGAGCGGATCGAAGTCTGTATTCTCAGCCAGAGTGGCTATAGGAGGACGCAACGCGCTGGCAGCGCTCGTTAGCTCGTGCTAGTGTCATGCTGTTTTCAGATCAAGTGAAATCCAAACAAACTTGCAGACTGGAGCTGCAAAATCGCTTCAGCCATTCTTGATTCTTCATTTAGTCCAAAAGATTCCAAAAGGCATTGTTTGGAACAACACAGCACAAGCTCTGCGTCTGGTGTTGTTGCGCAAAAAACCGCACCTGGCTTCCCTGGCAAAGTAGGTTCCAGAACCCCAGACGAGGCTTCCACGCGAGCCTGGCAGCACAAACGACACGCACTGTGCACGGCTCGCGTCTCAGTTCGTTCGATGACCATGTCTCGCTGCTGGATGGCAGGGTCTTTCCTGGTTGGGAATAGGCATGAGTTTTCCAAGCCTCGCCTTCCAAAAGTAATTAATCAACATGTGATGAAGAAAGCACCTGTCAAGGTTGCGACATCATTTGTGTTCAAGCAACCTGTGAATTAGCACCTAAATTGTGAAGAACATATCCACTTTGTCATCCCCCCACTTCTCCTCCATTGGCACCTGCAGCTAAGGGCTGAAATCCGGCCATACGGCAACTGACGATGGACCTCATCTCCACACAGATCAATGAGCTGCGCTCCGGAGTTCGAGTCCAGCTGACCATCTATTCCAGTGCGCGCCAAGGTATATTTTAACATATTGTAATTGTGTGACATGTGCACAAGATCAGATCCTAATCCTTAATCCATCAACGGACCCACGTCTCTCAGAAAAGATACATCAAACACCTCACTACCCTCGCCGGGCCCTGTTTTCACCCGTCGCGCATGCCGTATCCAAAAATCACCTCAACAACGGCGAGCAGGTGCCCCGAACTCCAGGTTCTCGCTCAAGCCACCGTGAAAGGCCCAAGACCTGAGTGGCGGGCGGATGCGAGCTGTGGAGTGGTGGACCTCACGTGAAAGGGTGGGGATGGAGCGGCCCTTCGTTGGTTCTCAGAAAAATATTTGTCAGGTGGCTACTAGGAGCAAGGACGCTACTAGGGGCTCCTGGCCTTACTACTAGGAGCAAAGAAGCTACGAACGGAGCTTTTTCGCCGCGTAAGATGGTTCCAATGATCCCAAGTAGGAGAAAAAGCGACCGATCTTCTGACAACACCGGAGGTCTGGGCGTCTGGGTTGAGAGTTTCCAACGTATCTTCACCCCTTTTGACCGGTCTCTCGGTGCCCAGGTGGGGGCGATGCCCGGAAGCATGGCTCCCGAGTCCGGACGTGCTGGAGTGTGCGGCAAAAGCTGAAACCAAAACGGACCGGTGAATTTGGGCTTCTGGAGTGCTGGGTGACCAGCGTGACCAGTTCTTGCCCGTGCACACCATATTTTCGCCCACGTGCTTCATCTGAGCGCCACCCACGTGTGCAGCTCGGGATGAAATTCCACGCCCTGAAGACGGGACTGAAGACGGGCGAGAAACCGCTGGCAGAAAGCCAAGGTGACCCAGTCGTTGGGGCCATTTTGTTGTTGGTCGAAAAAAGACCGGATGAACGAGATGTCCTTTAAAAACTGTGCACCGGGGAGAAGAAATCTTCCCCAACTCGTCCTGTCTGTATACTAGGTTCGATCTTGGACTCCTACGCCGAAGTCAACAGACCCTACGCGCAAGTCACGGAATGCTTCGCAACAGGCTTCCACCTTCAAGCTCCAAGTCTTTTCCACGCGAACCTCTGATAGGTGGATGAATTCACTCAAGTGGAGGGTGTGACCGGAGTCCGTGCTTTGACACAAGCAAGGCAAATGCACCCAGCTCGGTGCTGCTCCAAAATGACATGCCGTTTTGTGCAACATCTGCTCATATTTGCTTGCCCAAACTTCCCCAAAAGCCAATCTTGTACCACCTTACACTTCCAAATTGTTTCCATCCAAACTCGTTTCCATCGTGGCTATTGATCCACCACTGAACCCGCGTGGCTCCACTGGCGAGGTTTGTCGAGTTCAAGAAAAGTCGACATCCATCGACCAACGACCTGGGCTTCGATGTTGCGCGCGAGGGACTCAAAGTACCTGCGAAGCACAAAACCATCGTTGCCCGACGCAGTTGGCGGGGCATTGTCAACGAAGCATGGGACACAACGAAGCATGGGACTGGAAATGATCTATCCCATACACTCCATAGTATGGAATACATCCATTGACCCCCCAAATCAACCAGCCCAACTGATCGGCATGGCAGTCCCATGGGTCGCGTCTGGGTATTGCACGGCCAAAGTCCATGTCGTTTCTTTGACCGTCCCAGCGGACGTCTGCGATCTGCAGCGTGTGAAGGTTTCGAGGGTCCGACTCCTGAGTCGAACCAAGGACCCGACCCGTTCGGTGAAGGCTTGGTTCGGGTCCAAACTTCTGCTTTGGACCCGAACTGGAGGGGGACCCTGCAGGTTCCGCAGGGGTTTAGACCCGAACCAAACCTTCACCGAACGGGTCGGGTCCTTGGTTCTTATAGGGAAAACACACACCTTGGAAGGAAGATGTCGAATATTCATGTTCTGACTCACCAGCCTTGTGGAATTAACAGTGCGCGGCCCTTGGACCAAAAAGTTGAGACTCTACGGATCTGCAATTGTTCCACTTCCATGTGAGTGAGTCAGAGAGCAAACTTCTTCATCCTTTTTGCACCTGCTCTTGTTTGGTGGGGAAACCAATTCGTCCTCGATCTTTCATCCCCTCTCTTCCTCTCGGATCTTCTCACCTCCGGCCACTCGGCGCACGGCTTGGCACAACCATCCAATTGTGGCAGATTCTCCACACGCTGGATGTTGGAGATTTGCCTTGAGAAAAACACATGCTGCAGAGAAAGCAACCAAAGCCAACCTGGATGTTGGCCACACCGAAACACCCTCGTCACCCAAAAGGCCCGAGATGAGACGGAGATGGGCTTCTGGTGCTTCGCCATGCTTCGCCCACGACCGAACCCACTGAGGATGGCACACTTTCTCCCAATTGCCCTGTGGCGTTGCGGAACGACTCCGTCGCGGCGTGCCGGCACGGCTCTCGATCGTTGGACGCGTGACATCCCGACATCAACTCAGAAGCTACGTTCGGAAGACCGGGCGGTCGCGGCGTGCTACGGAGCGATCGGACGCTACGCAGCTAGCTCCTGGCATTACGTCACAAGAAGCTACGTGGACCATAGCCGCTCAACAGGAGCGATTTGAAGGATCTGGGCAGCCATGGTCCACGTTGCTCTTCGTCCCAGGTCACACAAGGATCGGGTGCCCGGACCGATGGATCGGAGATCGACTGGTACGATCTCGATTCCACGCGCTTCCAGATTCCAGATTCTCCAACGATGGTCCTCCTAAATGTCCAGCCTGGAATGGCGGTTGCATGTTGTTCTGCTTCTTTACGGAACAAAGCTGTTGAAGATAACCCCCAAGCCATTTCTTGAGAGTCAACTTCCTATCAAAACATGTCAAAACCTATGAGTGCCTATGCTGGAATATGTCCCACAGTTTAACTATTCCGAGGGCTTGAATCTGAGTTCCTTGTTTAATCATGGGAAACTACATTGAATTGTATGTTGCACATGTGAATGAAAGGTCGGACCTGGCCGGTGCAAATGAGCAAAAGGAATGGACTCTTCCCGCCAGTTTCTGAAACCAAAAACTGGATCATGGATCCCTAACATGATCCCTAACACCCCGCGGCGATCCACGCCACTCGCGGCCTTTACCCCATATACCGGCGTCTCCTGCGACGTGGCTGCGACGTGGGTTTAACGTCGTGTACGGTTCGGCGAGGTCGAGTTAAGGTCACTCGTCTCCCCTGGGAGTCCAGTCTTCAAACGAACTTAGGTGATCCGAAAGAGGGTTCCTGAAGACTTGGGTGCCCAAGTCTTCGGCGAACTGGATCTTCTAGGGTGTTCATGAACACAATTATGTTATTGTACTGAGACCAATTCCTCTATGAACAATTATGAACAGTATGAAGAAATCAGAAAACATCCGTTTATTGAACTTGTCTGAACAAATGTTTGGTCAAAAAATCTGAACCCTAGCTTGATGTGCATGACTTATAATTATATTGCAGCAACTTATACTTTCTTGTGCCTTGGTTTGAAAGAAACACATGAGTCGATCCTTAATATCTTGGGTTGTGTGGCCTAGAAGTATTTGGGTACTCCTGCTTGAAGACGTATGGCACAGTATGACACAAGCAAAAGAACGCTCCAGCACTGCTCGGGAGAAACACCATCAACAAACAAAAAGATGGCGTGTGCACACGCTAGATCTCCAAGCAGTTCGGATCCAAAGACACCTCGAAAGTCTTTCGTCGGAAGAAGTAGGACCACGATTCCATGAACGGAGGGCTCGACTGAACATCTCCGATATCGGCGGAACTCCTGCAGTGGACGAAACCCACCTCCATACACCCTTGAACCAGCCAAACTCCGCTGAAACATGACATTTCGGGTGGGAAACACTGGCCTTGGGCTTTTGTGTCTTCCCAGGCACGGCACGGGCATGGGAAAAGGAGCGCCGTCCCGGCCTTGGGCTCCGCCCAGAACATGGTCTCGATGATGGCCCATTCCTCGCTGCCACGTGTCACCTGGTTCTCATCGGCGTGGGTCTTGAGGTCGGAAAGAACATGAAGTGGAAAACTCCACTGGGTTTGCATCACTGGGTTTGGAAGAGATGCATCTTCAGGTGTGAGCCCGTCCTACTTTTGAATCGTCAGGGGCCCCTGAAGGTGTGCCTTTCATCTCCCAAGAGTGTTCAGTTCTGTTCAGATATTTGGTGCAGGGAGTGGTTCATTATATAACATATTGAGCACAGCCTGCAAAACGAGTGACTTGCACACACGGTTTCACTATGTTTCACATCATGGAAGATTTGGCCCAGGCCTGGGGCCTTGTAGCAACCATATAGAACATGAAGCATGGAAGGATCCAGTGCGACACTCACCTGGTAGAGCTTCTGCTCATCCATGCCTTTGCTCTCCTGACGTTCCGCAGCGTAGCGGGACCGCATGAAGGTCAGTGAAAAACATGCTTCCCGCTAATATTTTCAGGGATGTCCCGTCTGGTCTCCTGCGAATCTAAATCTGGCAACTCTTGTTCCGCTGTTTAGAAGATCGTCCATGGATAGAATTCATGAACTATCTACCAGAAGTTCATAGAAGTTCTATTAGCGGAAGGATGCCCTTGTCACATCCACTCACTGGATGGGACTAAACACCGTTCCTTTGGAACTGCTGATATCAGAATCTTCGGCGAAGTGACAATATTGGTCTTGTGATCATGGCATATATCATGATTAAATATCTTGCAATCTGCAAACCAACCACGAAAATCCAGGCTACACGTCCTGAATGGGATCCTTGTAATTGTAACCAACCACCGAAACCTTCGTTTCAACCTACGAATCACCGACCATCGCAACAGCGAGTTCGCCATGTTTAGAAGTTCAGCAGCAGCCAAACGAGGCTTCCCCCAACTCGGCCCCTGGCTGCTACCAGGTTGGAGGCCGTCGCTGTTAGGTTGGAGGCCATCCCTAGTAGGTTGGAGGCCATCGGAGGCCATTGGGTTGCTAGTAGGTTGGATGCCATCGCTCTTAGGTTGGAGGCCATATTGCTAGTAGGTTGAACACCTCAGGCCCTGACCCACCGCTTCCGTAGAGCTTCAGGCTTGTGACCTCCCCCGTCCCCGGTCACGAGGTGCAGATCTGAGATCGACAAGCGTGCTGACACTCATACCGGATGCCATCGCCGTCACCGCGATTCCCCTTCAAGCTTATTAGTATGGTTCGTATACATGACATGTGTTCAAATGACCTAATATTTGCATGATATCCTGGTTGGAGCTCGCAAAAAGGCCTGTAAGAAGTCACTTCAGGGCCCCCCAAAAAGGTCATGAACTTTCAGAAAAAGGCGGAATCTGTCTCATATAATCTGCTCCAAACAAAGACTGAGACTCCAAGAAGCAAACATCCCCTCTCTTCTCCCTCTTCCGCGCAGGAACCGGCGTTTCTGATGCCGGTCCACCACCCGCGCCTAGCCAAGCCTCGGCCTCGGAGCGCTCCTCCGAGATCCGTTCGCGCCAGGTGCGAATCATGTGCGCCTCCCCGGAGCCAACGGGATTGGGCCGGGGAGGCTGCAAGATAGTTTCCGGAACCAGGTGGCTCCGGTGTTTGTTTTGAATGGCTCGTCTTTTTACGAATTGGGTGCGTTAACCGTCAAGCTCTAGGCTTTTGGAGGGTTCAAGAGGTTGCTGCAAGGTTTGGGCTTGGAAGGAGGGGGTTCTTGAGGCGGATTGATGTCAGACCGATGAGGACTTGGATTTGCTTAAGGAACCTGTAAAAAAAACATGTTTGCCATAAGGGGATTTAACCCATGGGAAAAATAAACAATCACCTTGAGCAAAACCAGTTTGATTGAATAGGATTGATGCTTTCGTGGGATGAGGAGCAAAGGTCTCGGACCGGACTCAGTCGATTGACGAGTCAGCAAACATATCGATGTCATTACCCGTATTGGCTGAGAAGAATTGGCATAGCTGCAAATGAAGGCGCTTCAAAGATTGGGGGTCGGTCCGGGATACAATGCCCGAGCAATCTCGTGAGCCAGTGACCTTTACTCTCTTCCATCCAAGTGGATTGGGATTCCAAAATTGAGGACTATTCAAAGTATTCGCCTATAGTGAACATACATGTTGAATCAAGGGGAAAGGGATAAGGAACATACAAAATGTCAGTTGCTGCTGCAATCTGTGTTATACAATACCTGGCACAAACGAACCAACTTGCTACGTTCCTGCACATACCTATTTTATAGAGATTTTCCAACTGTGCAACCATGTCTGCCTAACTTGGCTGGTTTCTATAGATGAAACTGCAGAAACTCTGCATGTCGTTGGATGATTAAATTCAATAACTCCCAGCAGCTCTAAAAGAAATAGTTTTAGGTCCCATCCGGTGAGTGTATGTGACAGGGTCACCCCGACTTCCTCCGCCAAGTTCGGCACCGAACTCGATGGAACTGATCTGTGAAGCTAACTCATAGGTTGGAGCCCATCTCTCTTAGGTTCATCAGACTTTTCGCCGGAAGATCCTGTTGGAACCGACGCCCTGAACCGCCGGTTAAAGTTCGGTACCGAGGTCTGGAGGGAAGCGGTATGGAGACCGACCCCCCCAACAAACCGGAGACCGACCCCATATAGAGACCCCTTTTGGGACTGGCATATGAGTACCGATCAGTTGGGGTGGTTGATATCATCACTCCCGAAGACACCCGGGTCGAATGGCACGACTGGTGTCCGACTGTCCGACTGGTTTTCCAGATGTTCAGGCTCCGATCGTTTTCAGTGGATTCGTCGTGTCAGATTTCATCTCCCAATTTCCACTCCCAGACCGGACTGGAATGAAGGTTAGGGTTTGAAGGCTAGGGTTTAAGGGCTAGGGTTTTGGGATTAGGGTATCTACATTGGCTGCATCAACCGGGCTTTCGATGTGGGTCACGAGCCTCCGGATGGTCCCGTCGGCCCATCGGGACCAGCCTCTGGTCCTGCAGGATCCAAGGTGGCGTCCACGAGCCGTGGCAACGTGTCCCGGACCAAGAGGGACCTCGGAGGCAGCGAACTGGCATTGCTACCATGTAACAAGAAGCTACGAACGTAGCAATGACGCTACAGTATATGCTCGGTGGAGGCCATCGCAAGTAGGTTGGAGCCCATCGCTACGAACGGAGCAAGAAGCTACTAGTAGGGCACCGCCCCCACGTTGCTGGGGCAACGCAATGCGGGGGCAATGCGGGGGCAATGCGGGCGACGGTGAGTTGAAGTTACTCGTCGAGCGGCGAAGATGGAAACGCTTGTTTTTTCAAAGGAACACTATACACATTGCAATGGTCCATGTAAGCTTCGGAAGCTCTTTGGAACTGTGCTGTTACTCTTCTGTTCTTCCGACGTAAAGGCGGATGGATCTGTTTCCGGAAGGTCCAGTGACGGCCATCGACACCGGAGGTATTACCGAAACAGCTGAGGCAGAGCACTCCATGTTGTGCTTATCGCCCTTGCGGGTTAAGTGCTGCGTGGGCAATCTCCCGCTGTCTGCGGTGTGATACCTGGTGTGGTTCCATGGAGGTGGAAGCGCGGCTGAGCTTGGAGTTGCTTGTAGTTGTACTTGCTGGAATCTATCAAACCACGTAAAGAAAGAGCATAAAACCCTTCACCATGGAACCAGGTGTGACCAAACCAGCTGCACTTGTGTATGGGGACAAGCTTCTCATATTCTTTCTTTATGCATTTGTTACATGTTTGGATGTTAACATGATGAACCATATGAAACCATATGAAGCCTTGTGGTTAGGCGATGAAACCGAAACCTTTCCCGAACCGCCCTGACCTGTAGACCTGATAACGTCACATCGGCTCACAGGAAGCACATGTTCTCCGTGCCGGTGGCGATCAACTTCTCGAGCTGCTCCCGTGGTGTGGGATAGACCTCAGGTGAAGGTCGCGCGGCGAAGGTCGACGCGCAGCAGTTGTTTTGAAATAGGTAAAAGTAGTGTTGACAAAGTCTTGACTCTTGAGATTCATTTATTTGAGCAAAGAACACACACAATTACAGTCATTGTCAAGAAGTGCTGCAATCCAAATGGATCCGAAATGAAGCTCCATCAGCAGGATCTCCCCTTCGGAAATCTTTTTTCATCGTCCCGGCGCCGAGAAGTTTGTTCGCGAATCCAAGATTTCCAACGAATTCTAAACGAGAAATGAGCCAAATCTGGATCCGGGTGTTCGATCTACAGTCTCTACCTCTAAGATCTCTGTTTTGGTTCGGTTGGTTTGGGGTGCGCTTGGATAGTCTATAGCTTCTGAGAAGGAAGGACTGGAACCCCAGGCAGTTTCACATCCTTCAGAGGATGAGTCATTTAGACTCTTGATCAATGTCCGATCTCGGTCGAATGGAGACTCTCACACGCTCTGAGACTCTGAAATAAGCACGGAAGTGGAGTGAAAACCACCTGCTTCTAGAGGATTTCATGGTCATCCCACGCCCCTCGTGCCATCAACGTAACCATGATTGGGAGTGTAAGTGAATGGAGACAGCAGTGAAACACTCCTCTTCACTCTTTTTCAAGCAGCAGTTTCACTCCTTTTCACTCTTTTTCAAGCTTCGAATATTGGCAATGGAAAGAACACAATTGACAAGAATCAATGAAGTTGTTTGATCCCTTGCCTGTCTTGAAGGACTCTTGTTGGGGGATTGAGGCGTTCTCTCATCCTCCGGTGCCGAAAAAATGAGGGAACCACAGGCCGGTGGAACCACCAAATTCACGGCCGAAACATCATCTTGAGGCTAAAAAGACGATCATGTTGGAAATCCAATGACAACATGTCTGCCTAACTTTTATCTATGAAAAGGCAGAAATTCTGCAGTCTGTTGGAAGATCCAGGCTTTTTTCCTCTGAGTGCAAGTCCTCATCGTTGCTGCCATGCGCCACCACCACTGGCACACCCTGACTGACGGTTGAAACAAAAAGACAGAAACAACAGTCATATTTGCACAGGCTTAGCTACGCGTTGTCGCGTTGTCACATAGTCCATGATGTACATCATTATTCATTATGTCACTCCAGCTACTGAAAGTCAGAAGAAACAGGAGAACATTGCATCTTGTTTCTGGATATTGAAAACATCATTATCCCTGAAAGCACACACAAATGCCAACTTGGGGCGTTCAAGAAGCTGAAGCACAATGCAACAAAGGCAACCATCCGAAATGAGTTGTTTCAGTGGTTGAACAGGAAGAAATCCGTGAAACTTCCGTTTCCAAACTCTGCAAGCCCTTCGAGCTTTCTGAACCTCTAGACCAAACACATCCCTACAGGTCAGGTTGCCTGACCTCGTGAATGAATTGGAGTTGGGCATACAAAACCACTACTCAAGGAGGTCAGGAACGGACCAGACTGGACCGACTGGTCAGACTGCACTGATGTAGGGATCAGGAGGTTACTAGCAGCTTCGAAGCTCCTTGTAGGGATCACACTCTCCCTCCCTTCAGAACTTTCGCCTCTGGCAACTCTTTACAGCGAGGATGACCGTTCAGCAGCAGGCTGGGTCCCCGCCAGAAGCCCTCCTGGAGCGACTGCGACCCAGCGGGAGTGAGTGCGCGGCATGTTGGCTTTGTGTTTAGGGGGATTTGTGTCTTCACGGGCGCAACTTCCAAATGAAAAGCGTTGGGATCCCAAACTTCTACAATTGTCGAGGGACTGATGATTCTGAAGACCAGCTTGTTCACTGTATGAGGATTGACGGTGAGGTCCTCTGCTAAGAGGCTACAGCAGTTGGAAAAAAATATAAGTTTCTTCGGAGATTCACATTGCATTTTTTAACATATACGCAAATGCAATCTGAATCTTGCCCCATTCATCTCACCTCAGGCTGAACATGTGACAACTCCATTGGATCGCCAATGGATTTGGCGAAAACACACCCCATTGAATGAGGACGGAGAACGATCAGACCAGTGATGTTTACTTCAATAAGATTGCACGGAGCCTATCTTCCAAACAAACCGTCAATCTGGAGGACTCGGAGGCTTTAAACAAATGAAGAATGGCTAAACATGGGTGGGATATGGTGGGATAGTCTACAGAGGTCTGCAAGAAATCAAAAGAAAAAAGCAATTTAATTCAAAAAACCAGCAAAGAGCTTCCAAAGAGCGCAAGTCTATCCGAGTCTATCCATGCGAAGCCCCAGCCTCCACCTTCAAAAAATATCAAGTTGATGTTCGACAGTGATGAGGGACTCATGGCCACAAGTCACAAAGGGGTGGTTTTTAGTCCCTAAGTGAGTGGATAATGGGCACCCCTATCCTCCAATAGGCACCCCGTCTTGTGATTCCTGGGGAAGAAAAGGTCCCGGAAAGGTTCGAGCTTGGCCAAGCCGGCATCTGACCGACACGTGTCGGTCGTGAAGCGGTCGACCAGTCGTATTCAACACGACTCCAACCCATGGCATGCAGCCCAGGCCGTATGATCCGGTTTGCCTCCCACAGACCCAGCAAGTAGATTCCTGCCGTCAAGCGGTCCGGTCTCCGAAAAAGGCTAACATGACTGCTAACATGGTATACCAACAACAAAGAAAGGCAAGATCCAATTCTTGCGTGTGCCCTGGGATTTATGAGCGAGAGAGAGAGACAGACCGAATGGACATTTAGCAAATCTCTGTAGACAAGTACTGAATTAATATGTACTGCCACCCACAATGCCACAAAATGTCGGGCATGTCAAGGCAAAAACGTAGACTCTTGATGACTACTTGGATTGGAAGGTGTCTCTTTCATCTGTCATCTAAATTTGAGAAGTTTGATTCATCAATTGAGTCTACGAGTCTCTATGTTGGCATGTGAAACTGTCACACCTTTGGCCTCTATGTTGGTCACTTCTCCGCGCCTCCCTTCGAGGCCGCTGCCACCACATGAGGCTCAAAAGCATCGATGCCTTCCTGGTGAGGCAGGGAAGTAGAATGGCTTGGATCTTCCAACTCTGCGCTGGCCATTTCTGCAGAATACGCTGATTTGATATGACGAAAAACTGTGGTTGTCTCAGATAAAAAAGGTGGCAAAATGTGACAACACATTCTCTACGATGTTGCAAAATCCAGATGGTTTCTTCCATGTCCATCCGCTCTTCTTATCAACACCACTGAAGTATTGAGTCCATGAACTACGGCCTGGACCACAGAAACGCTAGCTCTTGGGGGGTTGAGTGACAACACCAAATCTCCCGCATGGCCATCGTCCAATTTGTTTCGGTTTCATGCTGCTCCATCTGCTGCCGCAGCAAATGGAGCAGCATGTGGCAGAACCCAAACAAAGCCGAAAGGAAAAGAAGCGCCGAAGAGATGGAAGAGCGGAAGATCCGTTGTCGTTCGGTGTCGTCCAATACGTAAGTCTTCGCCATCCCGACCGAACGGCATCATTTCTGGGAGCAAACGGTCGGCAGCTTCCGTTTCCGTTTCTGGCAGCGCCGTGACAGCAGCGATGGAATACACTGTGACAGCAGGCCATGCGCGAGGAAAAGGCTATGAGCAGCTCCGTATGTGCGATGTAAGAATTGGATGTGACTGCAGAAGGTGGGCACGCAAGCTGATATGGCGGGGAGCAATGTCTATATGTAAAGACTCAACTCGCAAGTTTTTCCGCGCATGCAGGGTTGTGTCAAAATTGAAAGAAAATCAGGAAGGGGAGAAAGACGTTCTTCAACCACTTGACCAAAACCTCAGAGGCACAGCACCACCCCCTTCGGCCAGACCACGAAGGAAGCAGCACCCCTCGTACCCCCCAAACCTCCCGCAAACACCGGAAAGCGTGGGCCCAGGTACCAATACGTCTTTCTCTGACACAGTACATACTCACAGTCTCCGCTTCGAAAAAATTCAACCCCTGGTCCCCCTTCCACGTCTCCCTTACCTGCTTTAGTACGCTCAAGCATTCGAGGAAGGTCATGAAGTTTAAGGGAGTGAAACAGGCGTGAAAACGGTAGCAAGGCCTTCTTAGGCAGAGTAAGCTGGGCTAAAACGGAAAGACCCTCGTTGAGGTAGATTCTTGCTGTGCGGGCGGCTGCCCAACGCCCCTGGATCAGGATTTTATCCAATGATCCGTGTTTACCAAACCAAAATGTGGCCCCCCCTCGCCGTAGCGAGTAAGGGCGAAAGCCCATGTCATTCAACGACAATGCAGAGAGGCATTCACTGAATCTGGACCGCCACTGGTGTGGAGGAGGGGTTAGCGGGCTGTGTGAGCTCGACGACTTCTTCCAAGCCCAAAGCCAAGCAAGGACAGGTGTCACTGTCACCGTGATGCTTTCAGCGGCACCAGCTCGTTTGCCCCCCTTGGTCAAACCCAAATTTAAGAAATCACCGCAGGCTTGTTGGGCGCAGTCATGAAGATGTGATGGTTACATATGGATAGGAGCTCCCCAGTCCGGAGAAGACCATAGAACCCTAACATCAACGAAAGACCAAACGCGTAGTGCTCATGGAAAAGGCACCATCCTAACATGGCCTCAAGGACTGTCTCAGGCAGTGGAGGCGCTCGGTTGGGCACCTCGTTAGTGTGCCATGTCTTCAACAAGCGCCAGGTCCCCTGAAGCTTCCCCTTCACTCGAGGCTCAACGTCTTGCATGGCAGCAACGCTATCACTCGCGAGAGCTCGTCCTTCGCCGGATGCCCACAAGTGTTCCACATAGTCTGACAACAAGTCGTCAAAAGCGGGAATGCTACGAGGGAGTTCTAGCTGGTTGGTCTGGAGGTAGGCGTAGAACTTCTCACGTGCGGCCTGGTACCGCTTGCGTGTCTTGGGTTGTATGGCTAGTTGCTTCAACGTTCCTAAAGTTTGTCTTTGCTTCGCTCTCTCCTCTTTACTGCGGCCTTCTAAATGCACATTCACTTTCCCCATTTCTTCTTTCGAGGCCGCCGGCTAGGCCGGTCGGCAGGGTTTTGGCTGGTATGCACATACCCCCAACAGGGGTGAAGGTCCGCAGCGAGGAGCAAAGAATTGACCTTAACCAAAACTGAACGAAGCTTCTGACTAGAGGAACGGCCACGCGACAATGCATGTAAGCACACCAAGCTGTCGATCAAGTGCAAGATTCGACACCCACTCAAGCGTCTGCGCTGAACCAACCATCGCAAGGTAGTCAACACGGCACGCATCTCAAGGATATTGATGTGCTCACCTGAACGCTTCCAAGCCCATCCTGCAACTTCACGCCACCTCCATAGTTTGGCCGGCACGCTCGTGCGCAACCTATGAAACTTCACCTGGGGCTCACTGGCGCTTTGGACCATCAAGTCTTCACCTTTGACCGACACAAGCCCAAGCAACTTACGCAACAATGGACCCTCCAAGGCAGCGACCAGGCGTCCGTGCACCCCTAGGGGTGGGCGAATCAGCAAAGCTTGCAAGTGCTCACCGCGCCCAGGTGTGAGTGCGTTCACGATGTCCTGGAGCACCCGGGGCCTGCAGAGACCAAGCTTGTAAGCAAGTTGGTATACCAACCACGCAATGACTCCTACCTGCCAGGAGTTGCCCACCAAGGTTAACCGAATGTCGTTCCAGCTGTCTCCCTTTTGGTGTTGCTTGCAAACGCATGGTCGGGTATAGCCTACGGGTATGCCCATACAGGCCTCACGCTCAGAAATGTTTGGTAACCTGCCTGAGCCTTTCTTGTTCCACAAGAGCTGGTGGTCACGATACTGGTAAGGTGGGAACCGATGTTGATCAGCAACCCAGCGTGCCTTCTCATGCTCTTCACACCTGCCTAGACCTGCAGGGCGGCGACCTGGACTTGCTCATGGCCGAGAGGTCGTGAACGTAGGAAACTTGCACCCGGCACGCAACGACCAGCCACGCTCAAGCAACGCATCATCATGGACCGTGGCGTTCAACTCCACCGTCCCTGTGTCGCCCCAAGAAGCCTCCACGGGAGTAGTCACCTTCACTCCCTCATCTGAACACAGTTCCCAGGAGACCCAGTATAGGCGCGGCCGATGACAGAGTGTAATGCTGGCACAATCAATGAAGTAGGGTTGCAACTCCACTGTACGGCTCATGATCTCCCTGTCCTGCTCCGACATCGATGCAACTGATTCCATGAGAAGGTGAACTTGAGCCCAAGGGAAGTACTCCTCAAACAAGGTCTTGATCCGAGGCACTTCTTGGAACAGGCTGCTGCGTGCGTCTAGCAACGCTCCCTTTCGACCCGCGTTAAGCCCACTAACCCCTTGACATGGGGGTCCAGCACCTATGAGCACTAGGCCAACGGAAGGGTAGCGAAGGCTGAGATCTCGTACCAAGGGCCCGTCTACCGTCTGGACATCATCATGAAATATGGCGTCCGGGAAGTAGGACTCTACAACACGCCTTGCTGTTTCCTCTTTCTCCACACTCAAGTGCCCAGCAACCGGGATCCCGAGCGCATCGACAGCCAAGCGAAGAGCCCCTAGCCCATCAAACAACCCTACTGTCAACACCTGCACAGTCTGGATTTCTTCTGGGATGTCACCTCTCACCTCCGCATCCAACGCTGCCATGCCGTAACCCGTGAGCCCCTCACTCACACAGAAGCCGCCTCCTGAAGTTGATGCATCACTGCAGGTGACATGTTCCCCCAATGGTAATTTGAAGCTCATCTGCGCCAATGGACACAAAAGGATGAATCTCAATAGCTCCCTCATGACCTGCTTGGGCAACGGCATACGTACGACGGGCGGCAGGCGCTTCAGGCGCACCATGAACCTCCAAACCTCATTGAGCGCGCACAACAAAGGACGGCGGAACATGCAGAAGTACACGAAACCACCGCACACTACCTGCAACTCCTTCAAGGTGCAATGCCTTCGCTGAACAAGACAGAGACCCAGGGATACATAGAGGAGCACCTTCTCCGGACGTGGCATGGCAAAGCCTAGCTCTCCATCTACTATGGCCCCTTGTATCTCCGCCTTGAAGACACGCTCAGTTGACTTCTTGGGGTGGCGCGGTAGTCCTAAACGGGAGTACTCCTCCCTCAAAGCTTGCACTGCTTGAGACACCGTTCCCCTGATCAGCTCCGCCTGCTCTTTACTTTGGCGTTCCAGCAAGTCAAAATTGTCAAGGTAGACACGAAATAAGGACGATGATGAAGAACCTACTCTGTCACGCCTCATCTCTGTCTCTGCCCCCAGACCATGAGGGCAAGATTGCTGGCTCCACTTCACCACGTTCCGGTGAATATGTTGTGCTATAGATACGCTGTTGATGAAACCCATAGGTAATACCCTCGAGACCAAGACACAGCGTTTGCCCTTCCACTGTTTGGGGATCAAGTCCTCCTCAACCTCTCTGTTGAACCCTAGGAACCTTTTCCATTCCACTGGTACCTGAAATAAATAGAAGAAGCAACGTATATCCTCAGCACTCATCACTGCTACCTCCCCCTCATCTAATAAGAAGCTCTGGAAGGAAGCGATGGACGGGAGCGTGCAAACTTCTCCCACCAAAGGTTCACACAGTTTATTGAATGGTATCAGGTTCATGATTAGACGCTGGGTTTCCAGGGGGCCCACAAATTCTCCCTTTCCAACAGCAAATAATCCGTTCAGTAAAGGCTCCTGATCAATGTGGTAGAGCTTCTCCACCGGCCATACTTCGCAAATTCCACGATCCACCAAGCCTCTGCTGAGCGCAGGCCAGTCGTCTCCTACCATAACTTTTGGGGGTCGAACCCGAACCATGGTGTCCACAGGGATCAGGAAGTCCTCCAACCGCCTAACGTAGTGCAGGGTACCTTCCGTGCAAAAGTCGACCAACCTAAGCTGACCAACCTGTTCAGGAAGTGAATTGCGAACCGCCTCCCAACACAACGTCTGAGCAAGCCGAATCTCTTCCCCCGCATAGGTTACCCCCCTTTTCTTGAAGAACGACTCAAAGTCCACCGGGTCAATGGTCCGTTCCCAAACATCAAATCTCTCGCACAGCATGCTAAGGTTTTCCGTCAGTCCCTCAGGGCAACGGGACGGAGCTGCCCCTTGCCCATGTCCGGTGGCCAAGTGATTGAGGCCAAATACCATCTGCTCATATGCCTTGCTAGACCCTTCATTGCGGCAACGGGGCAATGGAAGAGGGAAAATACTATCATGAACTGAATATTCAACTTCCATTGCCGTGGACTGCGTGCGCTCCTCATCGAGTTTCTCCATAAGGACCCGTGCCGCATTCATGGCCTGAAGCATTGTACTAGGTGAAACACGGCTGCTTGCGACCTCTGACTCACGTCTCCATTCGGGAGGATTCGGGGCGGCCCGCTCCCCTCCCTCTAAAATTCGAGGTTCCAGAACTCCTTTGTCCTCTGCCCCCCGGGCGGAGCTCTGTGCAGCCTTGCTCAAGGGCGCATCTGGCCCAAATACTCCTCTGTCGTTGCCTCCCTCTAGCTGGGAGGGCTTACCATGCACACTTCTCTCTTCCAAGGGTCGGCCCTTGCTCTCCTCTCCTGTTGAAGAAAAGCCTCTGCCACAAGGCTCCTCCTCTTCTCCCTTTCTGCTCTCTACGAAGTCACCTCTGTCAGCCTCTTCATGCCTCTCAATGCCAGCTACTTCTCTTTCTCCTCCTCTCTCTTCCCTTTTCCTCTTCCTTTGTCCCTGTCGTTCTTTCCTTTGCCTTCTGACTTGCCTTTGTCTCGACGGCCTTTGTCCCTGTCCTTTCCTTTGCCTCCTTTTGACCAGTCCCTGTCGCTCTGCCACTCCCACGCTCTGCCTCGGGAGTTTCGAAGGTGTACACGCTCCTCCTGCCACACCTCCTTGCCAGCCTCCGATGCCTCGTGTGTTGTAACCAGCGACGCCTTCTCGGGGCCGACCAACTCGAGCCTCCGTGCGATGTCGCTCTGAACGCCCCTTGCGATCTGCTCCAAGCTCTTGATCCGCTGCGATGCAACGTCGAGCGCTGCAGCGGGCCTTCCTCTGAGCATCAGGTCGACCACAAGGCACCAATGCTGCATTTCTCGACCCATCACTGGCCCCACCTGACTTTGTAGGTGTTGCCGATAGTATTGACTTGCCACTGGTGGCAGGCTTCCCTCGCTGCTGGAACTCAGGAATCCTTCGGCTGTCATCAGGCTCTGTCTCATGTCCTGGAGAACACCGCAACTCAGTGCTCCGGGGACCCTCTTCCAAATCTGCAGCGCCCTTCTCTCTGCCTCGAATAGCTCGCTGGACCCAATCAACTCTTCCGCCATACTCGAGGACGTTGTAGAGCTGTCGCTGTCTGCCTCCCCTCTCCCTCTGCTTCGGGAGCGACTCTCCTTCTTCCTCCTCTTGCCTCGTCTGATCTTCCGGGCCTTGCGCATCAGAGCTTTCCGAGTCTGCGGGTCTGGATCGACCCCCGTGCGGGCGAAGATGTCTTTCAGCGGCACCTCCAAACATGGCTTGATCTTCTCCTTCTCCTTCTTCTTGACCTTTTTCTTCGACTTCGTCCTCTCCTTTTCTCCCTCTGCTACGGGAGCGTTTGCACCTTCTGGGGAGTACTCCTCGGCGTTCACCCCATCGACAACCCGCTTCATCTCGGTCCTCAACTTGGCCAACTGATCGGGAGGATCGAGTTCGTCTACCATGCCATAGCCTCGACCCTTCACCTCTTCCAAGTTGCTCCACCATCCTTCTGGGGGACCCTCTTGGCTCATCAGTCGCTCTCCATGCACCAGGTCGTTGTTCCATACCAGGTTCTCGCAAGGTTGACCGCATAGATGAACCTCCATGTCTCTGCATCGACCACCAACTGCCTTCAACAAACTCTCTGTTTGCGTGCCTGTCACACGAATCCGCAGCTTTCGATCTCCGCCGTGGAAGTTCAGGCCTGACACGACCCCTGCAATCAGGCATGGGGCCTCCCAATACCGGCCCTCCACTACGACCTTGTCCAGGTTGCCGATCTCCTCCATTGTAAGTTCCGGGATGGTCCTCCACATCCCACTGAATTCTCCGACTCCTCTCTCGTCCTCTCTCACTGCAGGCCTCCTCAATACCTCTTCTGCTCCTCCGCGACGACGGGCTGGGGGCCTTACCCGGGCCCCTGGTCTTCTCAACACTTTGGGAGCCATCACCTCCTCTCCTGCTGCCTGTCGTACTCGCTCCAAAGCCTGTAGTTGAGGTTCTTCTCACGCTTTGTTCTGCCTTTCGATTCGGTAGGTTGACGCCCTCGATACCCACCTGGCCAGTAGCGGTAGCCCGAGGACCCTTGGGACTTGGGGAAGGCCTGGTACTCAACCCACCCACTGTTGTCGCGAAATCCGGGTGGAGGATGGTCTGGCTCTTGGGGTTTCTTACGGGGCAGGACTCGATCTCTCTCCTTCCTCTCTCCCTCGTTCCTGTCACGGGAGGACCCACGGACACTGGGGGGTGGCGCGGCTCGCCTGGCAACTGGGTCGAACCTGGAAGGCCTTGGAACTGGGGGACGGGACTGGTTGCTCTCAGCCTGGGGAGTGGTGGCCGGCTCGGAGGGATCACGGGCCGTACCTTTTCGTTCAGGAAGTCGCTCAACTGTTCGAGCTTCCTTGGGCCCTCCCTCAACCTCGGCGTGGCTACGGGAATGCCTCCTCCTCCCTCTACTGGTGCTTCGATCTTTTCTGGCCGACTTCTTTTCTGACGATCTCTGACGGCGACGACGGGACCGGGATCTCCTCCTCCGCTTGCTGGGGCTCCTTGCACCTGCGTCTCCGGGAGTGTTCCTGACTACTCCCTCTCGAAGTCCACTGGCTGTTGAAGTCTCCTCCTCAGGCTGTTCACTGGCGGCTGACTCTTCCTTCCCTTCCTCGCTAGGCTCACCTTTCACTTTCGGCTCCGGCCGGCTGGGCTTAGGCTTGCTCTCCTCCTTGTCCTTGGTGTCTGTAGCGCGTGTGGGTGTGGCAGTCCCCGCACGGCCCTCAGCAAATGCCGGTGTCGAGTAGGTCGCTCGACCGACACCCTCTCGAGATCTGCCCTCCGCCTCGTCGAGCAGCTCGAGATAGACACCTCGGAGTTTACTCACACAGGATCGTGAGAACTCCTCACCCAGGCGCTCGTTGTACACGAGCAGCAGTAGTCGCTGACAAGTGAGGCACAAAGCGCACCGGCAAGTGCGCCAATTGTGTACCTCACCCATCAACAACTTGAGCTGAAGCCGAGAATCTGCGGAACACAAATGCGTGTTTCGTCTTTAAATACGAAAACGTAAGCCATTGAGTGCAGCAACTGCACCATGTTTAACGAAGCCTGGAAGTGAATGTGTGGTTTAACCGAGTGTCAGTCATTGGTTGCTCCTCTGACTTGTCATTTTGGTTGAACCGTTTCTTGGCAAGCTCTTGTTGATCTTCACAGGCTTCTGGGAGCTTATAGGTACATTGCTGGCAATTGATACATCCTTCGACTTCCTTCGACTCTGAATTTGGGAGCAGCCCTCCATGACAGCAGCACTTCCTTCTCCAAGATCAATGACGATATGTCCGCCTCTTGAGGCACAACTTTGCCTCTTCTTCTTTGATGTGTAGCCAAACTCACCAGGGCTGTTGCGAGCACTTGTCCCTGTTTGAGCGAAACAGTGTCCATCCTGAGCGTCGCTGCAGTCCTTCCACTCAGCGAACGCATCGTCCATCGGTCTCGTTTCGGCCGATAGTAACACGAAGCCAAAAGAGAACGAAGCCGATTATCGCAGGAGCCAACAGGCTTGGCTTCGACCTGCATCGGTCGATCTGCATCTGCGAAGCTTGGTCCAAGTGACACAACGACGGGACCCTAAGATTCGCAAACAATGTGTACCCTGGAAGGCAAAAACTTTACAAAGAATGGTCTTTTAGGGGACTTGAAAGGCGAAGTAAAGCCTCTGGACTTCTTGGGTGATCTTGGATGTGAGTTGCCACACTAGTCACATTTTGCATCATTTTGCTGGCAGGTGCAGGTAAACATATGACTGAATCTTTGGGGCAGTGTGACATAGTGTGACGTGCAAAAACAAAAAACAATGAACACCGTCAGTAACCACTAAAGCTGGCAGTAGATGGTCCGTTGAGATGTGCACTGACCGCCCAAGACCGGGCGACCACGAGGACCTCCCAGACCAACCACTCCTGATCAACCAACCACGTATACATCCACAGCCCTTTCCCACCCAAATCCTCCAACATGCTGTAGTATATAGGTCTATGTGCCTATGCCTATGCCATTCTATGCCTATGCTCCACCATCTTTCACTGCAACGGGGATCATCATGCATCATCATGGCCAAGATCCTCGCCTGAAAGTGCAGATTCAGCCGTTGCCCCATGGTCCTCCCTTCCCCTTCCGCATCGGGCCCCGAGCCGAAGCTCCCCCCGTGACCAGCCGGACGACCACGCGGACGCGACGAAAACCGTCGGCGCCTTGATTTGGTCCAAGTAGGGCGTCACGTCGAAGTCCCTCTTCTCCGGATTGGGGATCCCATGGAAGAACTTCACCTGAAAATCCATACCGAACGATCTATCGATCAAAACGATCGGAGAGGTCTATGATTTTTCCGGGCCAAGGTTTGAGGTGCCGGAATTCAACGGAAGGCTGGTCGCGTCTTGGACAAGCAGCCAAAGGCTAATTGATAAGTTGTAAAACTGTTCCAGAAGCGCTGGGAAAAGGAGAGTGTGCATTTGGAAAGTGGACGCAAAAATGCATCATGACATGCTCGCCTGGTAGCCAGCATCCGTGATCATGGCACTCTGCCGGGGATTCAGTTGCTGCCCGAAACCTGGAGCAAGTCGAAACACTATGAAGCGCTGGTCAGGTGCAGAGTCAACCAAAGTGGCAAGCACTCTTCATGTGAACACTCTTCGTGGATCAGACCCAGATCAACCCCCCTAATGAAATGTGGCCCACTATGTAAACACAAAAATTATGCTTCTAAGTCTGAGAAAGCCCTCACAACATTTCACCAAATGTCCTGTAGGCCATAGATGGCCGTAGGCACCCCCGCTTCACCCCCTCGTGAGCAAGTTTACATAAGTTTACCATGCAACATCATGCAAGCATGCACGCACAATTGCCGTGCCTGGCCCAATCACGAAGACCTTTGTCTCCGAGCGGTCGGCAGCCGTGCGCTTGGGGATGCTGTTGAACTGCCGCATCGATGCCGACAGGAACACTCGGAGACCGCAGGAGACCGTGGAGACCGGGTTGGTTGGCCAGAACATGGGGAGGTTCTTGTGGAAGGAAAAAGGATGAGAACCCGCTTTGGTTGGAACATAGTTAGAACAGGGATCGAACAAAAAGGAGGGATTGCCAAAAATCTACCACTTAAGGACTTTCCCAAAAACTACCCTATATGTACCTGGAACTTCCTCAGAGTGTTTTTTTTGATCTGCGGCGTGAAAAACATCTTGTGGAGTCATAGCCTCATGTTTGAGTCTGCGGATGATTCTCTTGTTGTCTGACTTGTTTTTGATATTCCACGGGCGTTTATACATGCTAAGTGTATTGGTGAGCCACAGGCGTCTTTTTTCCGAGCGTGTCTTTTTAAGCGGATGTTTCTTTTGGTTGCGGATGTTGATGTGGTTCACAGACCTAAATACATAAATGTTTGTTGAACTGACAGGGATTATTGACTCCCATATGAATCGCACATGGTTCGATGCCCACAGCTGGGACTCGTCGCGGACTTGGACTCCAGATCTCATCGTACCGGATCTCTGGGGGAAAAATCTGACGAGATGAGATATACCAGGACCATCCATGAGAAATGTGTCTATATGTGTCTATAAATAGCCTCTTAGATGTGATTCGGGGTGTCCAACACACCACCGGGCTTGGAAGGTCAAACGTTGGCTTGCTTAAGTTCTTTCAGTGGATCAAAATGCCAACATCTCCCAAGCGTCTCAAGACTTGAACCAAGCGACCGTCTCTGCCCCTTTCTGCAAACCCTAGACCAGAAGGAAACCAACCACAAAAACTCCACTGTCCGCCCGCCCGCCCTCCCAATCCGCCCGCCGGTCACTCGGCCTTCACTCGGAAGTAGGCCTCAAAGTCGCAGAACTCAATGCGCTTCTTTCCACCAGCGATGTTCTGACGCGTCGCAAGTGACCGACGGCGCGGACGGCGAGGTCGGACCGCCCGCGCGAAGCGATCGAAGTCGAAGGGAAAGTCCACGGCTGGGTGAGGGATGGGCGAGGGTGACACCGGACTTCGGATGCTTTTCACCTGGTGTTTTTCACGTGAAGGTCCGCACCCGCGCCACGAGACCCCAAAAGCATCCAAAAGCCAGATGTTTCCCATGTCCCGATTGGAGGCACCCTGGCTCTTGAGGCGCCGTGGCGCGGTGTCAACCTTCGGAAGCCGCGCCACGAGTGAAGTCCTCTAATTCATGCGCCAAACACCTCGATCCTCTCTGGGTCAAGCGCCCGCGGAAGTGGTGCCGGTTCCTTTCCTATATTTAATTTGCCAAGGTCCCCCCCCCCGGATTTCTTTGTAGATAGGGTAAGAGGGGGTGATGATCACCTACCTTCTTATCTTTCCCAAGAAAAAAACAACATCTCCCAGGAACTCGCCGTTCGCCTGAAAGAGTCGGTCGATCGCATTGAACGCCTCCTCACTCTCCATGGCCTGTGCACCTGAGATGTGCAACAAAATGGCTCGCCTGACAGGAAGTTCTTTTCGCATGTTCTTTTCGCATGTCTGATGTTGCTTTTCCAACCACGGTGCTTCTCTTTTCGCCTGGCCCAGCAGTGTTGCACTGTCCAATTGAGGCATGCACCATCCAATTGCGGCAGCAAAAATTTGGCAACCTCTTCCTTTGCCTGGCGAACAGGAGTCTCGCTGGTCCTATCTCTGAAAATTGCACTGAGCAGCGCATGATTTCAGTTCAATGCAAAGGAATCCTGAATCCATCTGAATCCCAACCCTTGGATCATCCAGGTCTTGGACATTCATCGCACAATTGAACATCACGGGGCGCTGAGTTCGCTGAATTGGGTTGGGGTCAAAGTGCGGGGCCCTCTGCTTCCCTTAGCTCCACAAAAGCTTTCCCTGGGCCCTCATCAAACGCCTGCAGCTCCTTTGGGGGCCGGACGTGGGGCGCCCAGCCTTCACCGCCTCAAACATCGCGAACTTGGAGATGGAGCCGCTTCGGTCATCGATGAGTTCAAACATCCGGGTCCTGAGCAAGTGTTTGGTTCTCTGTGTTTGTCGACATGACGGTGGTGAAACCACCGGAATGATGAGCGTTAAGGCGTTAAGACACCCACAAAAAATAGGTGCACGTTTAATTTGGATGTGTTTCATGTTTTTTCGGGATGTTTTTTCTAAGTCATTGGAATAGAGCAGGTTTCTTGTTAGTACCCAGCTAATTACATCAATTTCGTATAATTTCGTGTCCTTAGCCGAGACACAGGTGTCGTAGCTGGCCAAATACATTGGAATAGTGCAGGTTTTACATTAATTGCTAGCTGATTAGACTAATTTGGGGGCTGTCGTAGCTGGTAAAGTACATTGGAACAGTGTGTCAGAGAAAGTCCTATGTTAGCAGAGAAACAGTAAAGAAAAAGAGAACCAGCACAGGAGGCATATATGATTGGTTAGAAGTTTATGCCCCGGGGAGTTCACCTCAAAATATTGATTTCGTGGCAGGCGCGGGTGTCGGATATGAAGCGCAGATTTCGTGGCGCGGGGGAGGTTGGGGGGGGCACAGCGCCCCTCCCAGCAGCACACCAGATAGAAAGCAAACAAATGGAAAAGCAAAAACAAAAAGAGAAAGGAGAAAAGCTTCCAAAGCAGAAAAGCGAAAGACAAAAACACAAAAAGCAGAAAAGCAACAAAAGCAGAAAAGCAACAAAAGCAGCAGAAGAAAAAAAGCAAAAGCAGAAAAGAAACAAAAGCAAAAAAGCAGCAGAAGCAGAAACGCTGCAAAAGCAGAATCCTTGTTTAAAAAAAAATAAATGAAAAAAACTTGAAAAAAAAACGTCCCTCCCAAAAACAATGCGCGCGGTGGTTGAATAGTCGGACGGCGAAAAGGGTCAGCAATCAACAAACCGCTACAGTCTCAGCCAACATGGTAATGGGCAAGGTCTTTCTCGCACTGTTGGTGAATAATTGATAATAATTATAAAGAACAACCATGGCCCTGAAAGAATTTGAGCAATGCTGAGACAAGCACGGTCCTGTGATGATTCTGCAGGATTTTTATGGGGGGCCCCAAGGAGTCACATCTTGGTGCATGAAACCACCAGTCTCCATCTTCCCTTTAAACCACCAGTCCCCCTAAGTGGCCACCGCGACACGGGCGGGAAGGTGCCCCCCCACATCGGATGTCGGGACTGAGCTCTCCAACAACTCACTGGTCGCTTCCCGGCTGTCATCCTCCTGAGAACAATCCGGACACGACGGAAACGGGCAACGGACTGCATCCTTCAGGCGATGACATGCACGGGCCTCCACAGATGTCTATCCGCCTTGTTTTGATAAGAAAAGGCAGTATTTTGGGGGGTGATGGGTGATCCAAAATCCAGGTCACTCAGGCGTGACTCAGATGCTCGAAACTTCAAAAGAGATCACATTGAGGGTGCCTTTTGTGCGAAAGCCCACAGTGATTCTACAAAGCCTTGAAGAAGGCTCCAACCACCTCCGTTTCGAAGGTGGTGCTTTAGGTGGGTGTGTAAAGAGGGGGGTCTAGAGTCTAGATGAGTAGACGCTACGAACGGGGCGCAACTGGCCTTACTACTAGGAACAAGAAGCTACGGCATTACTACTAGGAGCGCTCGGACACATTCCGCCGAGTCTGCCCACCGAACCTGAGGATCGCCCCGACAAGACTCTTCTCCGCTCCGCTCATCGAGTCGTTTCGGGCTCCTCTGCTCGAGCGAAGTATGCGGCTAAGTCTGTATATTTGATTCGCTGCCTGGGCGAATCGAAGCGTCGCACGGTTTGGGCGGAGAGACTGTTGGTTTGTGCGGTCAGACTGTGGGCAGCAGGTTGGGCAGCAGGGTAGGTCAATGATCTCATTTTTGCTGGAGTGGGTCATACAAAAAACACTAGACCAGGTTTTACTGGATCTTTCGACTTGCAGGGGGAAGTTGGAAGCAAATCATGTTGGGGCGCCACCAGAGTAACGTGAAACTTCAGTCTTCAACAGCTTTGGCCCATGCTGACCCTGGCGTTGGGGGGTTGGGGGGTTGGGGGCGCAGGCCCCCCGCCTCTCTTGGTTGCTCCAGTTGAATCGAACAGCCCTCGCTCTCAAGAACCCACAAACATGATAGGGGTCACCATGGGTCTTCTGCAACAAAGGATCTTAGCTATGGATGGCTATGGATTGTCTTCCTTTAGATGATAGGATGATAGGATGGCTATGGATGTCTTCCTTTAGATCTTCTGCGACAAAGGCAAGAGATCCTCTGCCGGAGACAGACTCTCCCGGGCGAACGCAGCCCAGGATCCTGACTTCACGACTTTCCAAGCAGAGCCCGGCATGTAGCTGTTGACCTTCTTGTTTCACTGAAGCTGTGAAAAAAGACCTCCAGCTGGGCTTGCGCACTTTCCTTGAGAAATCAGCTCAAAGATATCCATCACTGCATCGAAGATCTCTTCATCGGTGGCTGCACCTCAGGCTCACACAGTTTCACCATGTTCCGCACAAGACTTGGAACTTTAAAATGCATTAAACATATGATATGACGCATGTGGAAATCTGCCTGCTGCTCCCCTGCCCAACCTCTGCTGCATGGACGCCCGCCCCGGCTGCGACTGCCCACGCTCTGACGCTCCCCACCGGAGGAGCTTGGGAGCTGCAAGCCCTGCATCTTCGGCAGGACAAAGGCTGCAACCTCCGAGACCAGTGGGTCCAGTGGAGCAAGTGCGGTCCGGAGGAGGAGTTTAGAGGGGGAGATTTGAAGAGCTTTGACAAATGGTTTCTAACAACATGGTGTGCCTCCAAGACACTCCATGTAGATAGTTTCCGGGGTCCAATGTAGGTAGACTTTTCCATGCATGGCATGGAGTCATGAAGTGTTTGTGTTTCGCTTGGGGGACACGGACTGTGCTGCAATCGTGCTCAAGAGAAGAGAGGGGCGTTCTTAAGTTCAAGGCCACACACTCAAAAATCATGGAGCAACGTAATACTTCAATGTTCAATGTCATGAATCCATTCAGCACGGGGAAAAAAAGGGGTGGCCTTGAAAAACAGCAGAGATGCCTCTAACAGAGCCGCTGAAACATCTTCAGTGAGTCAGTGAGTCGCATCCTTCCACCCGCAGCAACTTCGAACATTGATGCGATGCCTCGGGATCTTTCTGCACAGCTGCCACTAACTCCATCTTTGAGAAGTAGCCACGGCGCTTGGTCTCAGATCACTGTGATGTTTCCAACCCCACTCCCGACGTGGAGGCCGACTGAGATGGGGTTTTCCGCGGAGACGGGGTTTTCAATCGACATCACCGTTATTTGGGGAGAATGACCGGGTGAAGTGGTTGGCAGAAATCCTCGGATGATGTCAGCTTTGAGGAGGCTCATGTTCTGAAGTAAATAAGTAATTACGTTTTTGGGCAACACTCCATCTTCGGACATGGTCAAGGAAGCTCCAAGTGAAGCTTCCATGATGGATTGATGGGTTGGGGATGATTGGGGTATCCTCGCTTTAGTACTCAATGTGTATGATTGAACATCACCCCGGGTCCCGGCATCCGACAGATCTCTCCATGTCTCGGCCCCCAGGCATCGATCCTTTCGCAAATGTCACGCAAATCCGCCTCGGAGGCGGACGGATCTCTCTTGACGTCCAGGTGTGCAACGCCAAACGTAGTAGGTTGAGAGCCGTCTACAAAAAATGGTCCATGTTCTCCTACAATTATAAGACTGTGGTAGGATCGGGGGTCTTAAAATTAATTGTCTTTCTTTAGACTTAGACCGTCTGAACTTTCATTATGCCCTTTCTTTTTTTAGTTATTTCTTCCTTTCTCTAGATTCTCTAGACCCTTTCTTAATTAGCGGTACACTTAGCACATAATGTCCATCCCAAACCTCCTACTCCGTTCAGGAGCCAATTCTGCATGTGCCATGTTGAGCACCCCGGTGGGGATCCAAAAACATCCCCTAAGAGACTGATGTGAAACTCACCAACGGCCACAGATCATCACGCTTCAAACATCCAACTGGGCCGCAGACGTCCATGTCATCCAAAATGATCTGGCAAGGCTCCAAAAACCAGGCGAATGCATCGAAGGCATCAACGAGTTTGCGGACCGCGTGGAGCACATGCTGATCGAATATCTAATGGACACCTGAGAATCATTATTATACTGCCCCCCTTTGCTGTAATAGCTTCAACATGCTTCAACACGAAGGACCAAGCCCTGTACTACCGCCCCAAGCAGGACCTATATAAACCGCCCCCCAAAAAGAACGGATTTGCGCCGCCTCTTGGCATCCGCAAGCACCCGCATCTCGCAAAAAGGTGCGCCTTGAGGCGGCCCGAGCCAAATTGCGACCCATCCCAACCTCAGGGCCGACCCGAAATGTGAACGTCTTCAGGTGGCGACGAAGGCTGGGTCACAGGGCCGCGACGGAGGCGAAAACGGGTCGAAGATGGCGGGTCAACGGGCGAAAGACGCAGGTTCGTGCTACTAATTATAGTTTCTATAGCTATAAGTCTCTATAACTGGCCTTGCTGAACTGGCAGATGATCTTGATTCATTTGGAGGTCAAAGCAAATCCAAGTTCAATCCTAAAATGCAATTTTACATCATGTCTCGAAGCTATGCCCTGCACCGGAGGAGGTCTTGGTGACAGGACTTCCATCTGTGGAGACCTGTCATGCATCGGACAGAACGTCCAACGTCAACACCGGACCGGCCATCCGGTCTTGGGGCTTAGTTCGTTTGAAATGCCTTCTGACTGGGGCACTCAAACGAATTCTGCCACCAGGTTGGTAGGAAGGAATCCAATCAAAATGGACGAAGAAGAACCATCCGTTGGCACTCGCAGTGCACACCCGATTGCACGTCTTTAGGTCTGTACAATATATTAAGAAAACACTCAATTCGAGTTGGATCGGATGGTGAGCAGTTGAGAAAGAAAAGAGCTTCAAGGATAATTTAGCCTCCCTTGTTGGCTGAGAACTCTCAACATCTCTCAATCCGCTTGAGTTGAAGATCCACACTGGCATATTTTCTTGATGTCCATTTAGTACATGAACTCGAACTTCTGGAGGTCTCCTTCCCCAAATCCTCTGCCCAACACCGGTGCCGGCGTCCCCTCCGCCTGCGAGACTCGTTTGGACACGGGTGAACCATCCGAGACGGTCTGGCACAGCGGGTTCCCCCGCCCGCCCGAGCTTCGAGTCAACAGTCAACAACACCGAATCGCCCCAGATTAGTTTGATGGAAAAAGCAGAATAGATGCCTTCCTGTCAGACTTTGGCTCTATATGTCAAAGGCCGACTGGCGAAGGCAAAAAACAAACTGGACATACCGTCAAATGAGACATTGGGGTCCGCCTCTTTGCTGCCAATGCCCTTTCAGCTCTTTTGTCGGCCGCGTTTTCAGCAGTGGCAAGTTGACAAGCCCGCTCACCTCTCAGAGCTGCTCGAAGCCGTGTTGGCCAGAGCTCTCTTTGGGGCCACGCGGCGCCGGAACTTACTGTTGTTTTCATTTTTCGGCTGGAAGGCGGCAACTGGCGGAGCCGGCGCTGGCGGTAGCAATGTGTGAAGCGCATGGGCCTCCTGAAGCCAATCCAATTGCAATGCTTTTGTTGCAGATGCACGATCTGTGGTTGCCAGGGTCGCCTCCAACCATGCCAAAAACAATGGCCCAAATGCATCGCTCCCAGGCGATTGGCTCACTTCAGGCTGCCTCAAGCTATGAAGGGTTTCAACGGAGGGAGGCACAGTTCCTGCGGCAAGAGCCCAGGCCGTTGTAGCCCCTGCTCAAATGTCAGCTGATACAGCAGGCGCTTCGCCAGCGATGAGCTCTGGAGCCCAAAACGCAAGGGTTCCTGCTGGTGGGAGTGTGGCCGCAGAAGAAAAGGCGGACCTTCCAGGAAGAAACGTCCCCAGCCCATGCCTTGACCAAGCAGTTGGCCAGCTTCACGTCCCGGTGTAAAAGCCGCATCAGGTGAACACGCTGCAGCGCACGAAAAAGTTGGCGCACCAAACAAGCGGCATCGGTCTCCCCGAAGCTTCTGCCTTGCAAGCTTCATAAAGATGAAAGTCTTCTTTGATAACGCAATGCCCGTAAAAGGCTATGATTACATCACCGCCCAAGCCTTGCAACTGTTACAACGGTGGTGGTCTCACACAAGGACGAGGCATCTGCCTTTGTCCTTTTGCCGAACCGCCCCTCGCCCAGCAGCATGGTGCAAGGTACAGCGCCCTGGGCCTGCATCATGACGAACTCTGCTTCTTCAGCAGGGTCCTTTGCATCCATTCCGCACAAAGCCCAATGAAGCCCAACTGCCACTGCAGCAGCCGGCACTAAAGCAGCAGGCACAGGCTGCTATGCCAGCACCAGCCGTCAGGCTAGCTCCAGCCGCTGCTGTGCCGCTGGCGGTCGCGGCAGTGCCCACGGCAGCAGTCTGGGTTGTGAGGGTTCCTGCAGCTCCAACAGTCAGCGCATATGGGTACGAAATGCAGCCAGCAAAAGCATACTCTAACAAAGAGACATCCTGCCCATACCTGATCTTCATCAGTTGAATGGATCTGGATCAACATATTCACCAGAATACCCTAGGTTTTTCAACTATTGTTCTGATAGTCCTCTGTTTCGTTGACAACAAGTCATTGAAAAGATGTTCATGGATCCAATATTTGAGCCTTCGGAGATAGGTGCCAAAAATAAGCTCTGAAGAAGTTCAGCACAGCCAAGTTCCAAAAGCATCCAAAAGCTCATAAAAGCTCAGCTTCCAAAGGCTTAAAAAGATCAACACTTGGCAAAGCGATGCATGACTTAGCCAATCAACGATCCTGAAACAAGAAAGGGCGGAACCCCGGATTTTCGCCTTGGTGACTGGTGCGTCCACACCACCACCCACTGGCAAAGCCTCGGAAGAACCACGGGGGTTCATGGGGGGGTCTGTTGATCGTTACGATGATCTACCAAGCCATGCAGGGAGAGTCTGAGGAAGAAAACAGGAAAACCCAAACAGCTGAGAAGAACAAAATATACCCTATACGAACCCAAACCCTATAATTTTGTAGGGTCTCAATCGGAATCTCGGGTATTTTTATGAAATGACAAATACTTCAGGTTTGTTCTTTGAACCTCGGGTCTTAACCTCGGGTCTTGTTTTTCTAACCCGTACTAACCCCGTATTTAACCCATACTAAACTCATAGTTAACACGTAATTACTATAAACCTGTATGGAAAGCGGGTTTCCCATCGCCCCTACAAATGTAGTATAATGGATGTATATATAGGGTCATAGGGTGCTTAGTGGGTAAAAATGATTTCTGAATATTTCTGAGATGACCTGTTGGGATGACGCGTTGGCATTCTCATGCGGCTATCCGTGGTTCTGAAGCTCCCACGCATCCACCACGCTAAGAGGTGGAACCCAGAGGTGGGGGAGTTTGGCACCGAGGAAAGCGCGGGGTGAACGATGTGAACCGATCACAGGCGGAAAACTTGACCTATCTCTATACACCCAGTTCGGCTGATTCGTCTGGATTCAGAGGAGTCTCGACCGAACTCGTGAGGGACCCTCACAACTAGGGTTTTGGGTGGTTTTGGACCATTTGAGCATGCAGGAATTGGTTCGGGTCCATGAGTCCCTGGGAATACGGGAAACCATAGGAGACTGTCATTAAGTTGAATGGCTGGTGTGGTGAATGGCTGTTCGTGTGAGCAATAAGGGCTGCTGCATGCATTTCCACCCGAGAAGAATAACATGGAAACGGAAAATTGATGAACATTTACCTTTGGAAGACGATGTTCCTTTACAACCCAGTGGTTTTCAGGTTCCATGTGAATCTTCCGGGGCGTATACTTCACACCTGGCCTGTTCACACTCCCATGCACCATGGGGACTCACTCAGAGGTTGCTTTGAGACTTCTGTCAAAGTTCAATAAGTGTTTTGGTCGAACAGTTCGCCCGCTTCCCAGGCCTCGAGAAGAGTTGAGACCCATCTGGTTTGTGCCCATCGAAATCACTCAGGTTCCCAACCGGTCCTTTGACAGCCTGGCGCACAAGCAAGCGCGCAGGCCATCGGTCGATGGACATGGTAGGCACTGGGAGGCGAAAGAAATCCCCTGGGCCACTTGGGACGTGGAAACATTGAACAATATTGAACCCAGTTCGGCTCAGATCAGAGTCTGGAGTCTGGACCCAACCCGTTTGCTAGGGTTTCGACCCTCACAACTATAGGTGGTTGGACCTGAAAGATGTAGGAGTTGGTTCGGGTTCATGAAGGCCTCTGGGAAGTAGACATAGTAATACATGTAATACTGCAAAACCGTCCATCGACAACCATCGATTACTTGCTTTTTGTTCCCACTTCCACCTCGCCAGAAGTTGTTGTTAGAAGTCTCAAGTTGTTTTCGACCTGCTTCATCTCATACTGTTGCTCGCCGACTTGCCACAATTCCGTTGAACAGAACTCAAGGTACCTCTGAACCTCTTACTTCAGATCTCAACAAACACTCACCAACTAAATGAACTCCAGGACCCGCAAGGGGTGGTAACTGGACATCGCTTCAACACTAAGGTACCTCAGATCTACACACCTTTTGAGGGATGCACGGATGCACTAGAAACACCCCTGCCAAGACAAAACCTCCATACCTCTCCTCCCCACTCACAAGCTGCCTGTCTCGGTTGCGGAGCCCTGACTGCCTGCGTGAAGAGTCGAAGCGTGTTTCACTGTGTAACATGAAGCCCTTTTGCATCGATGGAAGGGGGTCTTGCTCTGAAGCCGCCCTTTTTGTTCCCCTGAAACTATAGTAGGTTGGAGGCCATCACTGGTAGGTTGGAGGCCATCTCTAGTAGGTTGGAGGCCATAGGTGGAACAGGTCCTGCTCTGAAACCGCCCGTGACCGCCCTTCTTACCGCCCTGAAACTGCTGCGAAATGAGCCGCGCTTCTGTTCCAATCCTTTCCCGACGGATTCGGTCGGTCGCTGCAGATTCGGGCGAGTGACGCGTCCAGCGATGGCACCCACTTCGTGGGAAAAGGACCCAGCCGTATTCAGAAACCAGCCGCATTCACATAAAAGCTGGCACCCGTGGATGAATGCTGGAACCTCACACGCCCAAACTTCCCCAAACCTGTGAATGGTGTCATCAGCTGTCAGCTCAGGATGAATGTATAAAAAGAATCCGGACAGCCCGTGCATGTCGCAATCCATGCATGTCGCAATCTTCCGGCTGGCACCTGGGGAATGCGGGAACCGTCGCCCAAACTTCCCCAAACCTTTGAACGTCAGGGAAAAGAGGAACCATCTTCAGCTGTGTCTTCTGCGCGTCCTGCAACTGTGCAGTTGTCAAAGGCACCTTGCCCAATGTGCTCAACTGAGTGTGGAATGGCCAAGTTTGCCAAAGAGCTGCAATCAGCAAAGGCACTCTTCCCAATGTGGGTCACTGAGTCTGGGATGGTCAAGTTTGTCAAGGAGCTGCAATTAGTAAAGGCAAAATCTACAATGTGGGTCACGGAGTTGGGGATGGTCAAGCTTGCCAAAGGGCTGCAACCCCAAAAGGCACCACCCCAATGTGAGACACTGAGCTTGGAATGGTCAAGTCTGTCAGTCAAGGATGAGATCGTCAAGCTCACCAACGCACTGCAATCAGCAAAGGCAAAATCCGCGATGTGGGTCACTGAGTCTGGGATGGTCAAGTCTACCACGGAGCTGCAATCCCGAAATGTGTAATTTTTCACTGTGCGCCACAGAGTTGGGGATGGTCAAGTTCACCGAAGAGTTGCAATGAGCAAAGGCGTAATTCCCGATGTGGGTCACTGAGTTTGGGATGGTCAAGTCTACCAAAGAGCTGCAACCAGAAAAAACATATATGGCATAATTCCCAATGGGTCACCGAGTCCGGAATGGTCACTTTGGCCACTGTGTCGCAACCGTCAAAAGCGTGCTCAAGAATGTGTGTTTCATCATTTAGAATTTGGACCACAAGCAGCAGTTCTGAGTCAACAATGCCGCCAAGAATGGCGACCGCATCTTTGTTGGAACATATCACTTTGTTTGGTTTGAAGACAACACTCAAAAGTATCTTCAGAAGTTCCAGCATCAAATAGCTGTGCATCATTGGACAGCAAGTGGTTGTCTCATCCGACAATGATCTCCACACTTGTAGTGCTGTGAGTGAGCTCGTCCCTGTGCTGTCCCTCCTTGATCTGCTGCTTGAGCTCGCGGCCTGTCGTCTCTGGTGTGACTTCAATAAACATGACTTCACCACTCGGCCACAGCGCTGAAAATCTCTTCGCCATGGCTCAAAAACCTTGGTGGATAAGGATTTGAGCTGATTCTTCCTTTAGTTTCGTGTGTGTGTGTGTCTTGCCTTAGCGATTGGTAAACCCACGGAGTGTCCCCCTAGAGCTTCCAATGTCACAGGCTTGATCCGGATCGTGACTGTATGTGACGACTTGTGAAAGAAAAGGTATGAACTTCTCCACTCCAAACCAATCACCTTCTCAGAAGCTCCACTCAGCTGTGGACAAAATTCTGGACTCCCCACTTCGACTCCCGACCTACTCTCCCTCCCCCCAAACGACTTCTCCCCACTTCTCCGTTGGATCCCGAGACGGCCGCGAACGTCGAAGCACAAACATCCCAAAAGCCAAGCACCAGGACCCGACTTCGAGTACCTTGAAAATTCGGACACAACCCTATAAAAAGTAGTCAACCGAGGTACCAACGGGTCGTCTGCAGGCAGTTTCATGACTCCCTGACCCCTCCAACCCGCTACCAGGCCTGGAGGCCCGGCAGAGTGTGGGCGGACGCTTGAAGATATCCTGGAGGCCCCACATGCCCTGCACGTCTCACGTGACGGATGTGACGGCACGATCGAGTCGTCCAGGACGCTGAGCCAGGACCTTTCAGAAACTGACATGAAGTTCAAGTCTTCCAGGATGCCTGCCCGGATGCCTGCTCCAGCTTGCTCTATTCCTTGCTTCTACACGGGATGGTCAAATGAAGCTCACCATCAAACATACGTTAATTACTCCAGTTCCAGGAAATCAACCAGTCTGCTACTACATTGTGGCTCCCTGAAACCTGTTGAAAGAAGTCTTCAAGTCACACTTCAATGTTTGATTTCCCATCTCCCTCCCTCCAGCCTGGTGGCGCCATCGCAGGCGTCGTAGCTGCGCGAGCAGGGGTGCGAGCAGGAGGTATGGAACTGCGATCGGTGATCGGTTGAAAACCGTCCCCAACTTTCTCAGCCAAACAAATCTTTTTAACCTCGGCGATCGATGGTGACCTGGCTCTGTCGGAAAGATCTAAGAAGATCGCTTCTAGGAGCAAGGATGCTACTAGGGGCTCCTGGCATCGCTA